CGTTGAAAAATATTAAGACAACATTGTCAAGACAATGTATTTTGTTTCACGAAAACGTTGTAACAATATTGTTACCACATTGATCAATATTTGGGCAATATTGGATGAATGTTGTTTAAATGTTGAAAACAACATTGAAACAACGTTGAAAAATATTAAGACAACATTGTCAAGACAATGTATTTTGTTTCACGAAAACGTTGTAACAATATTGTTACCACGTTGATCAATATTGGGGCAATATTAAATTAATGTTGATTAAATGTTGACAACAACATTGAAACAACATTGTTATGCTACTTGGGTAGTTACTTCTTTAGACCGTTCTATGAATAAAAGCATTAAATCATGCCACGTCTTGAGTAAATGTTTTCAAGTTTTGGATTACCATTTATTTTATATACCATTTGAACGATTTTTAACGGAATATTAGTTTGGAGAGGAGCTTAAAATTTACCGATGATTGTTTTGATTATTTTTAAAAGTCTATTGCAAAAGTTAGCTCTGATAAGGATAAACGACACTCTTTAGTTTTGCTATTTAAATAAACTAAATATGTGTAGTAATAATAGTTAATGCAGGGAATTATATTTTTATAATTATATTGGAGACATCACAATTTTATTAAAAAGTAGTTTTAAAAATCCGATTGTTATTTCATAATCTTTTGTTCTAAAAAAATAATTGTTTCTTTTAATGAAACAAGATTGTACTTGAATTGAAACAAATGATACTCTATAAACATGGCATAACAAAAAATGTTTCATACAGGGTGATTGATATAAGTGTGCCAGCCGTTTTATTCGAAACCCATAAGAAATATAAAAAAAGTTAAATGGTAAGTGCCTTTGATTTTTGATTTAAAAAATTGTAGTCAAGTCGAAACAATTATTTTAGCCGCCATTTTTCCAATATGGCCGCCAACTTTGATTTTTCTTAAGGAACACTCTGTATTTTATGATGTATTCCAGTAGAAAATGTAATTTTAAGACGATTTTATTCTTGTAATTTTTTTCATTAACCTAACCGTTTCAAAGATAATAATTGTTTAAGCTGTGAAATTTCGAATAGTTTTCGAATAAAACAGCTGGCATGCTAGGCCTTTATCGAAACTCTTTCTCATGCAGAAATTTCAAAACTTTAACCATTATTATCTTTGAAACGGTTAGGTTTATGAAAAAAATCACAAGAATAAAATCGTCTTAAAATTACATTTTCTACCGGAATACATCATAAAATACAGGGTGTTCCATAAGAAAAATCAAAGTTAATTTTTTCGACTTGACTACAATTTTTTAAATCAAAAATCCAAGGCACTTACCATTTAACTTTTTTTGATATCTCTTATGGTTTTCGAATAAAACGGCTGGCACATTTAATCAATCACCCTGTATAGGCATTGACAAATATAATAAATATAGACCAACAACAGTGCTGCGGTTGGCAGTCCAGTAGGGTTTCAGCTCTCTGGATTGGAACATCACGAAGATTGATTAGATTATGTTCCGGCGCCCACCGCTAGGAGTGCGTGGCAGAGCCACAGATTAACACACAAATTAATATGACCACATTATTGTGCGTCTAATTTCATAAAAACTAAAATGCTATTTTCAGTAAAACAAAACATAATAATTTTCAGAGGAATAGCTTTTTTTATTGGTATAATATATAAACTCAAACACTAAAAGCAATATGAAATGATAACTGGTATTTAAAATAATCTCAAATGTTGTTCTGAAATATATTTAGGGACTGTAAAAGAGGACTGCCATGCTCTATATAGCCTAAGTATTCTTTCTTAGATAGAGATAGTGACAAATTAAAGGTCAGGTAGTTATTTATCGTAAATTTATTTGATTTTGTTTATCATGGTGATGATTGTGTTTCATATAATATATCTCAATTATTTATAGTGCTTTTGATACACACTACTGGAGTTTACTCTGAATAGTCTGAATGAGATAACTGAGACCGTTATACAGGGTGACAAAAAAGTCTGGAAACGGTTTAATATCTTTTTAACTAAATTCGTTAGAAAATTCAAACCTTTTACATCAACTTATATGTATGAAAACTACTTTTTGCAATCATTGCCATTATTTGACCTTCACCAGGGGACGGCCCACGAGGAGTAGGTACATAATCTTTAATGTAAGCATAGGTTGATATGGACATAATTTTAAAGGTCTGGTCAAGTGGAGTTCATTGCCGGAAACCGCGTCAAAAAAGGTTCATCTGTTACAAAATGGCGGCAGTTCAAAGTTGTTGCGGAATATACCTGGAGAGGCCTTAGTAGGCCCTAATGGTAAATACTCATAGTCAACATTAGCAGGGAAATCTGAAACCCGGTTAAATTTGTTTTGAAGATTGAATACTATTATTCTATGAGCTAGTTGACTTTAAAATACAGTTTAAGCTCTCAAACTAATGTTTAATACGAGTATTTGCCCATACTAAGGCCTGTGCAGGTATATTTCACAAGAACTTTTTACAGCTGCCATTTTGTAACAGATGAACCTTTTTTGACGCGGTTTCCGGCAATGAACTCCACTTGACCAGACCTTTAAAATGATGTGCATATCAACCTATGCTTACATTAAAGATTATGTACCTACTCCACGTGGGCCGTCCCCTGGTGAAGGTCAAATAATGGCAATGATTGCAAAAAGTAGTTGTCATACATATAAGTTGATGTAAAATGTTTGAATTTTCTAACGAATTTAGTTAAAAAGATATTAAACCGTTTCCAGACTTTTTTGTCACCCTATAAATGTACAGTTGCAGTTGGGCCAAAACTTATGTGTGCGCGCGGATAGTTCGCCACTAACCGCACTAAAATCATACGGGTGCCAGTTGGCACTGCTGAGCTGAGCTGAGGTAGGGGTGAGTGAGTCACGCTGGGTAGCAATACACGGATGTTTTCATAAAAGTACCCCCACTTTGACATGTATACCTCATTAAGACCCGACCAGACCAGACCAGTTCTGGTCGCAAGCACAGACATTGTGGCCAATCCGGACGTCAGCCCTGTCCCCTTGTTGAGAAATAGTACATTCACATTGTACTTAGTACTTTGGAACTAGGGGCTGAATAGGGGATTGTATGATGGTTATGAAGCAATGGAGCCAGTGATCTGGTCGTTTTTTAAAGTTGGGTAGTTGGTACCAACATAACAAAATGTTACAGCGCTAGATTTTCTAGCAGAGTTGCCATGTCAGTGCTACCTCGTGGCTATATACCTCCAGTTGTATCTTGTTTTGTTTTAGTTCCATGGTTGTATTGGGTCGCCGGAATTTTACCCCCCTGGAATTTTACCCCCTGGGCAAAGCTGGCGTTACTATGACGTAGTAACCTGTGCGCTCAAAAGTTTGTTCGCGGGCGGAATTTAACACCCGAAGTCTAATGAAAATAGACAGAGCGTGATTAATTAGATTAGCAATAAAAACCGGAATTTTACCCCCTGTCCATAAAACTAGCGTTTAGACAACTGTAGATGTACGGGCCAGATTTTCACCCCAGTAATTTTACCCCGGATTTTTACCTCCCGGAATTTTACCCCCGGATTTTTACCCTCCGGAATTTTACCCCATAGCCGGATATAGAAATTATTAAGAATGATTGATTATTTTCTTATTTCTATTTTCATTTAATTGTAAACATTTTATTATTAAGTAGCCTATCTTTATTTATTTATTTTGTAATCTCAACTAAGTAAACAGAATTCGCTGTTTAATTTTGATCATATTAACCAACAGTTGGTTTCAATGATCGAATCCTGATACTCAAATCTTAAAATTAAATTAAAAACACTGTTCGATTAGTTGATGTTACAAATAAATTAAGATAGTCTACTAAACAATAAAATGTTTACTATTAAATTAAATGTGAACGAAGAGAATTAACAGTTCTCACTAATTATAAATCTGGCCAGGGGGTGAAATTCTTTGGGTAAAAATCCGGGGGTAAAATTCCGAGGGTAAAATCCGGGCCGTAAATTTTGAGCTGACCACATGAAGGGAGTAAAAGTCCGGGGGTAAAATTACGGCCCGTAGACTCTAGGTTTTTATAATTTGATGTGTTCTGATTAAATTCACAACCGTGAAAAATACGTTTAATTCCGTGTTTAATCCATCGAACTGATGTCACGAAACTCAAAAGTTCGCGGCCGGAATTTTACCCCCTGGTTTGTGGGACCCCCCAGTCATTGTCTTGTCTTTGCCAACACAAGAGGCAAAGGAGCACTGGACATTCCTCAGCACCGGCTTGCACTTACAGGTAACTCTTTTAAAATAAATTGTATTAAGTTCTATAATAAGCTGCCTGAGCCTCTCTTTGAAGCAACCATTCCTATCTACAAGTCTAAAGTTTACTCGTGGCTGTTAGAAAATCCATTTTACACTCTTCAAGAATTCTTGGGTTCGACTGTTCTAATCTAGCCTTAGATTAAGCCTTTTTTACTCTGTTACTTTGTATTATCGACCAATATAAATATTTAGCCTAATTTGACAATGCCTATCTCAATGTATTTGATCAACGGCAATAAAGATTCTGATTCTGATTCTGTGACGCCACGTTTGCCGAGGGAGTAAAATTCCAGGGGGGATAAAAATCTGCTACGCCTTTGTATAGTGAGATCAACGATCCCTCGAACGTCAATTTGAGTTTGGACATTTAATAACTTATTTATCCATTAACGGTGGAGCTTCAAATTTTGTTTTCTAGTTCTTTGACTTCCCATTTTAACGAAATTCCCTTATAGGTAAGCTATTTGAGTTTTGGATGTACATATATATCAATCGTGTCCATGCTCAATACCTGCGTCATTACTCAACATGTTGCCCTTCTTTCCTCCTCTTCTTCTCTCCTCCGTCCATTGTCATCTCATACTCATCTTCTTATCCTCTTTTGCTCCTCATCCGTCATCTCATATTTTGTTAATCCATCCAATCCCCATCTTCGGTGAATCGTTCGTAATCGTATTTTACCATTAGGAATTTTATGTGAATTCGTCGGAATTGGATTATTTATTGGATTGGAATTAACTTAGTTGGTTACGACATACGAGACTAATGACCAAATTACAACTAAGAGCTCAGTATTTGTGAAGGAGGTAGGTAGTTTCAGGTTATTGTAATAATCAATGTTTGTTAGGAGAGAACTATGCATGGTTAGGTATAATTTTCTTATTGATTTATAAACTTTTACTAATATGATTGGAGTATTACAAGTTAGGTTAGGGTAGGGGCCTACAAGTTAGCAATGCAATAAATTAATTATTGGCTATGGCGATTCTTTCATACTATCAATTTGTCTCTAGTTTTCAAGGACGCTTAAGAAAACTCATTTTAGGTATGGTAACTTTTTTAGGCTATTTAGTTCACAGTCTGGTTTATCGTCAAGGCCTGCCTAGGCTACTCTTACCTTAGCTAGGCCTAGTGGGACCAAGCCAAGGTGTAAGTCTCTATGGGAAGTGGTAGATTTGTCGAATAGGCCACCCAGCCTCATAGGCCTAATTAGTTGTGGAAATCACTGAATGAAAATAGGCTAACCTAATCTGAATTGTGCAAGCATTGGGTACAGTTTCTTAACTGGGATATGCTAATATCGATTGAAACTATCGATTCGATTAGTAAACCTTCTTACTTACTTACTTACTTACTTCTTACTTCTGAAGTCTTCTCCGCAATCGGGTGATTGGGGAATCGTTAAGATTCATCTGTTTGGTTCTCGAAGTGAGCCCCGTTATCTAAGGTGTTGAAAAGTGTGTTCCTCGATATACTCTGCTGTGGTGTAGTAGGGCCTATTGATTAAATATTGTTTAAGCTTGTAAATAAATGTGTTGTGTTTGTCAATGGCTTTTATAGAGTCCGGCAGTAAATTATAGAAATATGAACCAGTGTACAGTGGGGTGTTGCTGAATTTTGTGAGTGTGTGTTGTGGAAGATCAATGTTTGCCCTATTTCGTGTGTTGTAGTTGTGTTTATCTTGTCTGAGACTGGGCGAGGAATTTATGGCCAGGATGATGGTTTCCAGAATATGAAGTGAAATAACGGTGAGGATTTTATTTTGGACAAAGAAGGGTTTGCAGTGTTCCTGATAATCCAGCCGCAGTATAGTTCTGATGGTTTCCTTTTGAAGGATAAGGACTTTGTCAATCTTGTTAATAGGTGCTGATCCCCACGCCGCTATTCCATATCTCAGGTGTGATGAGAACAGGGAGTGATAGGCCACCCACGCCGTTTCTTCATTTGTAATATTTCTGATTCGCCTAATTACGAACTGCGCAGACGTCAGTTTTTTACAGAGATAATCAATGTGGTCACTCCAGTTTAGGTTTTTATCAATGAATACACCGAGGAATTTTGTCGAGTTCGAGTTTGTTATGGTCGAGACTGGATCTGTATCAATTCCTGTGCCATGTCTATTGCTGGGCATGAAGGTTATATGTACTGTCTTTGTTTTGTTGATGGTTAGGCTCAATGTGTCACAGATTTCGGTGGCTTTGTCCAAGGTTGAATTTATTGTGTTACTATTGTCAGTTTTGGGTTGGATGGGGGTGAGTATGGTAGTGTCATCGGCGAATAGAATACATTTCTGTTCAGGGTTTAAGGAGTCCGGAAAACTGTTGATATATATTATGAAGAATAGTGGACCGAGTATCGAGCCCTGTGGGATGCCTATTGTACTTCTTCTGAGGGAGGATTGTACACAAACTATCGAACTGAAGCGTTGGTGATCTATTTCAACATATTGGTATCTGTCTGTAAAGTAGCTGTGTATCCATTCTATAACTTTGTCTTTAATTCCAATGGTTTTTAATTTGTTGAAGAGGATTTCCCAATTTAGATTATCGAAAGCTTTCTGTAAGTCCAAAAACACTCCTGAAACATGGTTTTTACTTTCCCAGAGTGTTGTTATGTGTTCACATAGTTTAGCTATGGCCGTATTTGTACTGAGCCCCTTTCTGAAGCCATGTTGACTAGTAGAAAGAAGTTTATTTGTTTCTAGGTGGTTTATTAACTGGTTGTAGACAGTTCGTTCCAGGAGTTTTGATATTGTTGGTAGGTTGGAGATTGGTCTATAGTTACTTGGATCTTGTTTGCTTCCTTTCTTATGTAGGGTCAACCGGGGCTAATATGAACACACCAAAATATTGGGGCTAATATGAACAATGACTTAAAAAGTCATTTATCTGGGATTTTTAATCATGAAAAAAATATAATTAGAAAGGAAATTTATTGTATTTTTTGTGTCCATAATGAGAAAACTTCAAATTTGACTTTTAGGTACTTTAAAAAAATACTTTGTTAAAACACTTTTTTTCCGCCCAAAAAACTTTTCCGCGCAAAGTGAAAACTTTTGTTATAACAATTTTTACATTGGTTGTAGGAATAATCTTAAGCCTGAATTTTGTTAAATAAGAATTGGGGATTATTTTTCTTTTCCCAAAGTTAAAATATATTAATAACAGCCAAAGTTATAAGCTTTCAAAGTTGGGGGGCTAATGTGAACAGTGAATGGGGGCTATTGTGAACAGTGACATCACGAGTGAAGAATGGATTAAAATTACCACCGAGCAGATTAAAAATGATGCAAAAAACAACAAACCAAAAGGAACTGGGCCTAAAAACGTTGACCTAAAGCGGAAGAAAGCAGCACAAGAAAATAGGCCTACTAAACCTAGATGCAAAGGGTTAAAATTTGTTAAAGAATACAAAAGAATTAGGCCTAAATTCCGCATTGAGAGCAGTGACAGTGAGGACAGTCTAGGAGTAGCAGATTTGAACGACATAATTCAACCCTCAGAATTAGATTATCAAGATCTAGACAGCCCAGAAAATCTAAAGGTTGGTGACTTCATTTTAGTAAAATGCAAAGGTGGATCCCGCCAAAGTACCACCTTCCGCTATGTCGCTACAGTGTTAAAAACACTGGCTGACGGGGAGATCGAAGTGATGGGATTTAAATTCTGTGATGAGGAAAAAAAATCATTCCTGAAAAAAGAAGATGATATATTTATTGTTTCTACCACTGACATTTTGGGGAAACTTCCAGCCCCTAATGTATGTGGAACCAGTGATAGACATAAGTATGTCTTCGACAAAATTGTCGAAGTTTTTGAGGCGTAAGTTCCTCAATAAACTTCTTTGAAGGCCTTACAGTGATAAAACAGTTTTAATTTTACAAAGACAACAGTTAAGGTGTTGAATAGGCCTAGCCCACATTTTTATATTTACCTAATAGGCCTAAAAGTGCAATAAACTGTCATTTGCCTAAACGAACAATTTGCATTGTCTTAAATTATAGTTTTTTTAAGTGCTTTAAACAATTTGTATGTGGAAGAAATTTTTTTATAAATACTCAGGTATGTTGACAGATAATTTTTTTCTTGTTTATATCTTATTATTAGCCCTGTATAATATTTATAAATGGTTTTAAAAAAAAGGGTTACCGTAGGGCGACCCGCGGCTCTCCAAAGATACCTTCATATCTCAAAAACTATTTAAGATAAAATATTGAGACTTATTGCAACTGGTAGACTAGACCCTAGGCTTGTTCACAACAGCCCCCACATATGCCTAGTGTTGTAAATAACAGAGTTATTAAGAGTGTTCACATTAGCCCCATGGGCTGTTCACATTAGCCCCTTTTAGCGGGGCTAATGTGAACAGTGGTTTTTAATTTTTTTTTAAATAATGGTTACATTTATGGTTTTTGTTAGTAAATAAATAGATTCAGCTAAAAAAAACTGTATACACTACTATTTTTTCTTTTCTTCTGTCATTTACCATTTTTGAGTTAATGTCAAAAGTTTACTTTTTTTGTTCATATTAGCCCCGGTTGACCCTACTGGGTGGATTTTTGAAATTTTTAGGTTTTTGGGAATTTTGAACTGCTCTAAAGATGTGTTGATAAGATGATGAAGAGGGGGCATTATTTGTTCTTTGCAGCGTTTAATAATTTTTCCAGTTATTCCGTCAAATCCTGATGAGTTATTGTTTTTTATGTTGCTAAAAAGCTTTTTGAGATCATCCACAGTGATAGGGTTGAAGATGTTGAGTGATGTTTCATTGGTGTCTGAATTTTGTAGGTCAGAATCCGCAGTGTGGTTTTGGGGTGGGGGGGTTCCAATGGGTGTTGCAAAAAATTTGTTGAAGATATTGCTAACATGATAGGCATCTGTGACTGGTTCATTGTTGTGGATTAGGCTAATGTTGCTTTGTTTTCTTGCTTTTTTATTTCTTTCTCTATTGACTGTATTCCAGAGCTCTTTATTTTTATTGTCTGCTTGCTGAATTTTAGCTGTGGTGTGAAATTTTCTTTTATTCTTGACATCTTGGTCGTAAGTTTATTTGATTCTCAGATAGGCTAGTTATTTTTGTCATCTTCAGAGTTCGTTAGGTGATATTTGTTTTGTGCTTCATTGAGCGAGGCCTTTAGCGAAAGTGTTGTGTTGTCCCAGAAAATTGGAGTTTTGGTGTTTATTACCTATTCTAGTTGATACTCTGGGCATGGCCTGTTCAATGTTTAGTTTCATTATAGGCCTACTCAAGAAATTGTTGTATTTGTCATCGATGTCCAGAGGCTCGTAAACTGATGTCCAGTCGGCATGGTGAAGTTGGGACTTTAGTTGGTCTAAATTTGATTTGGAAAAATTTCTAAGATATTTATAGGTTGCCTTTTGGTCTTTAGTCCTGATGAATATTGTGCATAAAAGAAGATGGTGATCTGAGATTGTGTTTTTGTGTGCGGTAACTTCTAATTCTTCATCCAGGAAGTTGGTGTAACATCCATCTATGCTTGTAGTGCTAGTTGGGGTTTGTCTTGTTATTGGGATAAAATAAGCGTGGCAGCCATGTTTTCTGAGAGTGTTATTTAAATTTATGGTACTCTGTTCTTCAGGTTTTAAAATGTTAAAGTTTGCATCACCAAGTATTAGTATTTTAGTCGAATTTGACGTGAATCCTTGCAGGCATGTCTCTAGTTTATTTAAGAATTCCGATTCTGTTTGATGGTCAGGGGTACGGTATGTTCCAATAAGTATAAAATTGCAGGTCTTATGTTTTATCCTTAGGACTGTTGTTTCAAAGCTCGTTTCTGCTGGTTCCTGATGTTCTTCCAATTTTATCTCTTCAACGCTTAGGGTTATGCTGTTTTTAATAAAAATTGCAATGCCTCCCCACATACGGGTGGTTCGGCAGAAATATGACGCCAGGCTAAATCCTTCAATATTTATGAGTTGTAGTTCATCTTCTTTATGGCCATGTTCCGATAGGATTAAAATGTCTGGGTTGTATTTGTTGATTTCAATAAGGAGACGGTCGACTTTGTTTTGAAGGCCACGTTGGGTGTTGAGGTGAAGTATTAATAAGTTTTTGTCTTGTCCGAGTTTAATTGTTGTCTGGGGGGCTGTGCTGGGGTGTTTCGGGAGTCTGATGGTGTTGCTATGTTTTCTTGGGGGGAGAGGCTGTGTTGGAGTTTGGGGGGGGCAGTAGTGAGATTTTTCATGAGATTTTTTCACCATCAGCAAGTTTGGTTGGTTAGGTTATGTTATATTAGTTTAATTTCATAATAAATATATTTAAAAATATCGATTATTAATCAATATTTTCAATTCAATAGTTTCAATCGATTTTAGTATAGCCCAGTTAAGAAACTGTACCCCGAAGCATTTTTGAAATTGTACTTTACTGTGTTTTTCTCAGAGTTTTAAGTAAGAGTAATTGTACAAAAACAGCCTGTAGGTAACTTAACTCATTTGCGTCTGACGACTCTGATCGGAGTCATTCCGTACTGGCACAGAGTGCGTACGGCTCCGGTCGGAGTCACGGTGCACTGTGCAGTGTTAGGCAAGTCGTCAATTGTGTCCTCCGCATTTATCGGGGATCAACTAAACTATGTCAGCATGTTATGCTGGTCCTAGGCCTATACATTAATTTGGTGTATGTTGGGTTTAGGTTGGTAGTAAAATTTCCCGTAAAATCCTGTCTGGTAGTTTTTGTCCCGATTTTCTCTCTTCAAGCCACATTACTAAGGCACTGGCTTCGAATCCAGGCAGTGCTGCTATCTGTGAGTTTTTCAATGAACAATGTCCACTCTCGAGGTAACACAGCACCATCACCACCGCTGTTTTGCCGCTGTCAAAACTGAAATATTTTAATGCTATTGCGTTTGCTGATTTACTGGCGCGCCGAGGCTGCGTCACATTTCTGACCGTACTGCCAAAGGGATTCTCGCAGCGAACGTGTTAATATAAACTAACAACTCGATTCTTTAATACAAACTTTACCTTCCTCATCTAACCTAACTTAACTTCAAAACACTTTTAATGCAGTCACAAATTCGCATAGGCTACTTAAAGGTAGGCCTATTCTACTATATTCTAGTTCTAAGTTACTGACAGGGAGAGCTTAGTAGTTTAAAAGAAGTGAAGTGTTGTCATTCATTAGGTGCATTATTGGTTAATTAGAATCAGAGTTAGTTAGATTTCCAGTTGCTTGTTGTGCGGTTGAAAACAATCAGCTGTAACTTTGGTAGGGCCTATGCTTACCTAAACCACAGTTCATTCCACTTAAAAATTACTTCCGTCCTACCGTGTTTATACTAATTTTGTATATTTTACGGCGATATCTTGAGTAATATTCATCAGCGGTGAAAAATAATGGTACAGCCTATTGGATTCAGGAGGTAAAAAGCTAAGTTATAAAGTAAGATATCAAAATTAAAAAAATGTTTTGAGGCACCTTTAGTAAATAAAATAGGTACTGTTAAATGACTAAGTTAAGTTAGCCTAGAAATTGTTGGTAAGGTCAGTTTCTCATTTAAGATCAAAATTAGGTAGTTGTTTGTGGTTTGGGATAGTGAATAATGACTAAAATTGATTTGGTGATTCATTCAACTAAAAATATAATCAATTGACGCTAAAAATAACCAACCAATTATTCAGTAAGGTCTATTGAAACCATTCGGTTATCCCATCATTACTCATAATACCCTAACCATTATAATATTAATTCAACCTCTTGCCAGACTATTAGCCACTGGTACCTAGAGCCTCTGAGTTAGTAGGTCCTATACCTACAAAAGCCGACTAGTTGAGAGGTATTTTATATTACACACGTCAGCCTATAAGTAGGGCTGCTGTATTTACCCTGAATGGTTTAGTATTGCTATTGTTAGACTCTCTAGAGATTTCAACTTTCATTTTGATTCCCTTAGTAACTTACCCGATTAGGTTTGATGACGAATTGTCAAAACCGATTTTCAGAGGCATTTCTTATGTTAAATTATGGTAACTTAGAGATAGTATTGCTCATTTAGATGGTATATTTTTCAATAGGAGAGAGTGTGTATGTCCGTGTTTCAAAAGAGTCGATGAGAAAGAGAGAGATTTTGCACCATAAGTTAATTTAAGTTAAATAGGCTAAGTTATATAAGTATAAGGTAAATAAGTTAGGCCTAAGTTAAATGCGTAAGTAGCACATCCTTCATTTTCATATTTGAACAAATATGTTATAAGTTAGGCCTATGCTTTTTGTTCAAATGTTGCTGTTGTCTTAAAACTGATAACATATGCTATAGGTGTACGTTGGGAATACTGTAAATGGACAATTTATGCTATAGTTTTTTAAATTGATGAATCATTCAAGTAAATTAATATTAGTTTTATGTTTCAGATTTTGTAATATTAGGCTAAGTGTTTAAATATGAAAAGAAGAGGAAGCAGCCGTCGTCAAGTGCTGGATCTGGACACTAATAGTTCCAGTTCACCGAAAAGGTCATGGCAAAGTAAGTTTTAAGTTATAGGTAGTTGTAACGTTCTATAAGCAAATCTTTATGAACTATGAAATAATAATGTTAAAATTGCCTTGGAAGAAAGTAGTAGCCTCAAGTTATGTTCAAGTTTACCCTTACATAACCTACAACTTTTTCCATGTTTTAGTACCTATTAATATAAAATTAAAACATCTTTGTTAAATTATGCGTAAGTAGCACATCCTTCAATATTCATATTACATTGAACACTTCTCTTATGTTATGGCGATGTCTATTTGTAGCATGGGTGCCCACAAAATTTCAAACAGGGGCGTGCAAAAGATAACAAATATCCAGGGAGGTCCGAGAAATTTTGAAAATATGTTTTAAAACAAATTTTTTATGCTTTTTGGTAGCCAATAGAAGCTACCAAATAAAAATGATTTGTGCATGAAGGAGGGTATGTCATCGTTTTTCACGCCAACTTTAAACATTAACCCTGGTTTTCTAAATAGCAGCTACATCTGTGGTTCAACTTTACACTATTTGATTTGGACATAAAATGAACATACATTTTTTAAATTACTATTATATAATGTATTGTACCTACTTTCATAAATTTATAATAAAAAAGGTAGGGTAATTACAGAACTTTCTTGCTAATAAATTTATTTTATAATTTTTTTCAGCCAGGGGGGCACAAGTGCACCCCCCTGTGGGCGCCCATGATTCGCAGGCTACACTTAAGTAGGTATGGGTGGGATCGTAATCTTAGCTGGATAGGGAAAGGATTTGTATTTCTTTACTGATTTCCCAAGGCAGAAACAGGATGGTATTTGTCTTCTTGTTCTTGGCTAGTAAAGGGAACTTAAGTTCAAACAGCTATTGCTGCTTTCAAAATTCATTTACCTCGCTATATAATGCATTTAAACCTTGCTATATAAGATTTCTCTTCAAATGCATTGTATTTTTTCCAGCCAAGTATCAGCAGATATACCAAGACCATTTGAATGCCACTGCCGCTTCTGCTACTAAAGTCCCATCAGAAGCCCAGAACGGGTCTGAAGCAGAGAGCAGGTTGCCGCAACTGGTGGGCTACACGTCGGACAGCGAAGGAGACGAGCCCTCCAAACCAGCCGATCTTGACTCCAAAGTCCAAGATTTTCTAAAGGTTTGTGAATTTAGCCTGGCTTAGAGGGATTGCGATTGTTCCTATCCATCATCTACATTATTAAAAAAATAAAATTAAAAGGTGCTATAAAGTCTATCTTTTTATTGTACTCAAAATCTTTTGAACTAATAAACTGAAACTTGTAAGCCATATTGTCATAGCCCCATTTCACTTCTAATATTCTAATATGAACTAATCTATTGTATTCTGTACAAAACCAAGAAATAATCATTCCGTGAGGTACTCACAACCTTCAGACACTTTTCAGTGATATTCAAACAATAAACTAGTCCTAAAAACGTAAATGTATGAGGATAGGCTACACCAGAATAAAAGTTCTCTCTAATATTCATCAAATAATACACCAAAGATTTACATTTCTCCTAATCCATACCAAGGAAGGAAATAATATTTTCTACAATAGCTTACATTTACCTACGTTCGTCTCAAGAGGATTAATGACTGATCAATGTTCAGTATAAGTGTTAGAGGTTCTACAAATTACAGGGCAAGCTCATAGTCCTACTTTTGGCCACTGTTTGTGGCGCTAATATATTTTAGGGTCTGCAGGATTGTGTCTAAATTCTATAACTTTATTATAATTTTTTAGGAAATATCAGACATAGTACCTGCTGCAACTACCAATCCAGAAGCCAGCATTGATGAAGAGAGTTCAAGGGATTCGCCCAAGTCCAAGACAAAATACAAGAAAGTCGTTGGACTCTCTATGCCAGTTGGGGACGTATCTCAACCAACAGATGTGATTGGGAACCAACAACCTACTATTGGTGAGTGTCAAAGTGGAAAAGTTATTGAGTATGTAATGCTCAAGTAAAGATTTTTGTTTCTGTAACTCCTCCGATATTTTATTTATTCATTCATTCAAAGGATCACGACAAATTATCACTAGATTGCCGAAACAGCTTAAATGAGATACATCTTTAATTGATGTATTTGTAGTTGTTGATTCGTTGCATGGTACATCTAAAAATCTAATTTTTTAAATATTCCAGCGTGGCAAGAGTGTTATGATGAGAACAGCGGCTGTTATTACTTCTGGAACACTGAAACTAACGAGGTGACGTGGGAGATGCCTGAAGCTCTACGATTGTATCATGTGGCGTTGGAGCAATGGAACATACAACAACAACTATTGCTGACTCAGCAAGGTTAGTACGACTATAAACTTTTAGATAGTGAAGTTGACATCCCATCTACAGGCTGTCGAAATGTTTTACTTTCTCCTCCTATACATAGTATATGGAGAAAGTATTGTTTTCGTCAAAATTTTCGAGTTTGAGTATTAAGTGGATATATCCCTGAACCCAAAAAAGTGGTTTTTGAAGTTTTGTCAAAAGAAGTTATGTGTCTGGATGTGTACAGAGCTACAGACCACACCTGTAGTCCGATTTTGATGAAATTTGGTATGTAGTTCTAATCCATGGTATCTCCAGGCGTTTTTTTAAATTTTTATTTTTATTGGGGATTTTTCCATAAAAACCCATCAAATAACGGAAAAATCAAATTTATCAAAAATGGCCTGAAAGATTTTGATAAAAAAATGTAGTGTTTTATAGTTATTTTGATTCTGAATGAAATGGTATAAATCCCATTACCGGTACTGTAAAAATTACGGTTCAAAAGTTATTGTAACTTATGTTATTTTCACACAAAAAATCCCATGAAATTACTAAAAATCATATTTTTGAATAATACCCGGTTTTGATTAAAATTAATGTGTTATGGTCCTTATAATTCGAAACAAAATAATGCAACCCCCATTACTGTAACCATTACGGTTCAAAAGTTATTGCAACTTTTGTGATTTTTTTCCTTCAAAATTATCATAGTTACTCCCACCGCTTACCCATGATAAAGGTTGTTGGCAAGCTTATGGGAGATATTATTTGTCAGATTGCTGGATTGGATACCGTTTATTTGATCATAAAAGGACATAGTTAAGTTGAATGAGTCACTAAGTGAGCTGGTGTCTAAAATTCTATTTACCTTATTTCTTGTTCGTGAGATAATTGGCTTGACATAAAATATGCTATAGCTTACAGTGAGCAGTCCTATCAGCGTTACTTGGTGAAAAATAATTAACCACTACAGTTACAGATGGATTCAGAAAAGAAACAATCAAGCGGTATGCTAATCACAATATTTGTATTGTGGAAGAATTTTCACACAGTTTGAACAGAATAGTTATTTGTGTAAATAGTGTGCAAAAAAGGCACTTTGCTGCACATGAGAGGAATGCAAAGTTTCAGTTCAGCAAAGGCATTTTGCACTCGCATTACATATTATATTTTTCCTACAGTTAGTATAAACCATATAAGTAATTATCCTTTCAACCATTTTACAACACGTTTTTAGGTTAGGTTAAATTCAAGCACTGAACAAAATGGGAATGGCTGCACCAGCTAATCGTAGTCGTAGTATCTTTAAGTGCCAACTTATTTTCAAGCCTACACGTATCTTGTGCCTAATATAAGCACACTGTTTTCTGTTGATTGGCTGGAATACTGGAGTGTGGCAAAAAAATGAGTGTGGTAAAAGTAAGTAAATGCAGCAATTAACTACTACACGTTCTATAATCAGTGCAAGAAAGCCCTCTTTGTCAGGTAACTGTAGGAAAAAGTTTTTTAGATAAATTAATAATTTTTAAAAATTGTACGAATACACCACTAATTTAAATACATTTTACTTGCTCTAGCTGCAGGGGTTATGACAGGAGTTGCAACACAACCTTCCAACAAGCAACCACAGAAGAAAGCAGGCTCGAACAAACCAACCGAAAAGTCCAAGAACAAGAGGACTAAACCGACAGGGAGTGACTCGGAGGAAGAGTAAGTTGGATTTTATTAGTATAATATAAACAAAATTATTGCTAATAACTACTAAGTATAGACCCAGCTATTTTTTATCTTTGGGCTTTTAACAAATGGTTCTGAATAAACAGCTGATTTAAGTCAGTATCAAAGCTACACAATGCATCCAACTCCATTCAACACCCATCCTTCCTTCATATTTGGTTTGAAATACGCCCCAAGAAGTGTCCCCATCTTAATTGGTTATAAAGATAGTGGTAATGATCTAGTGTAGGTTTTTAAGCCAGTAGCAAACAGTACAATTAGAATTGTCTTAATTGATTCTATTCTTGTTTCTTCATTAGTATTCCTTACTCTCAATCGTACCCAAATAACAGCTGTTAAGCTACAAGATGATTATCATGTAATATCAACCTAGCTAAAATGTGCCAAATGTTAATATCATTTAAGTTTAGAGATTCGTGGTTACTGTACATGTATTACTGTGACATAGAACCTTGCTGTCCATTGTTTTAAATCATTGTATTGTTTTAGGAAAATAGAACTAATCACTTCTTATGGGCCAAATTCTGATGACGATTCTGATAGTGATGCTTCCAATCATTCTTCACATCATTCTTCGAAGAAAAAGAAGGTGGACAGTTTAAAGCCATCGAAGAAAGAGAAGAAGAAGGATAAAGATGTTTCAATCGGTCCCCAACTACCTCCAGGTTATGTTGTACCAGTAGAAGTAAAAGAATCAAAACCTGTTGAGGTTAAAACTCAAACTGCAGATCTTCCAAAGATAACTGTAGTACCTGCAGAAACTGAAAAATTAAAGAAAAAGAAGCAAGTAGTTGTGGTAGAAGGAAAGGTTAAATCTGTTTCTGATAAAAAGAGTTTGAAAGATAACGTGGAAAATGTAAAACCTGCTCAAGAAATTGTCAACAAAGTAAAGACTTTAAGGAGGTTAGTTTTCTTGTAATTATTTGCCATACTGTAGTTAATAACTTGTTTGTAAATCATTGAACATATTAAAAGTAATACGTTCCTCTAAATAGCCTATTTCAAAGCTGAAAATCAAAAGACTTAATTCTCATTAAAAAAGATTTTAATAGGAACCGGTACTCACGTCTATTCATTGTGATATATCTGCTTTCTAAGGATAATGTCTATAAAAAATATGGAAAATAATTATAAAGTGAAAAATTACTGAGAAATTGACATAACAAATCCAATTAGAGGGGGGTTACATTTTTTAAATTTAAGTTACTTGATCAATCTACACATATTCTATGCTATTAGTCCAACTTAAACGGAATCCAAATTTTTCTAATTAGGATTTTCAAGTCTTCCGCAATAAGAAATCAATATGGGTTGGATATATGATTACCTTTAAATTTATACGTAGGAATTTAAAATAGTAGTTATATTTTTAGGTTAAATTCAATTGTTTTTAATCAGTTGAATTCTTTTGCAGGTTAAAGAAGCTGAAGGATAAATCGTCAGATGATAGTAGCTCTGAAGACAGTAGTTCATCAGACGATTCTATAAAGAGTAAAACAGAAACAACAGACAAAAACCAAGATAATGAAGAGGAAGAAGATGACGATAATGATGAAGATGATGGTGTTGAAGATTCTATATTAGAAAGACTGAAGAATCAGGCAAAAATATTGAAAGAATTGGGAGGAGAAATCCCGGAAGAAATTAAAGAGTTGTTGGAAACTAATTCTGATATTCAACAGGATCAAGAGGCAACAATTACAAAAGAAAGCGAAGAAGATCTTACAGATAAAGAACAAATACCAAGCAAAGAGATTATTTCTGAAGGAATATGGCCTGAGAAGGAGGAATCGAAAACAGATGAATATTTTGATAAAATATCTACTACAGATAGTTTTCTCAGCAATGTTATGAAAGTTGAACCATCAGATGTTGAAACAATATTTAACGAAGAAAGCAACTCACAAAGTGAAACCCCAGCTGATGTTGCAGAAATAAAGAAGAAACCTCCGGAAAAAGCACCTACTTCTTTTTCGTTGATTGCTGGCTATGGGAACGAAGAAGAGTCGGAACCTGAAGAAGACAAGGAAGAAGGTAATACAAAAGTGAACGGGAAACCGGCTCCGTTGTTTCCCATTGCAGCAGCTCTAGAAGAGAGTGATAAGGTGGAAACGGAAACTAAGGTAGAAAAGCCATCGGTTAAAAGTGCAAACATGAAAATGATCAAGCTGTCTGCAAAAGCTAAGGAACTGATACATTCAAGCACCACCACAGGAAAAGCAAGGGCAACCGAGTTTGTGGCTACTGCTGAAGGACTGAAACCTTCTTCGCTAGTTAAAGGTGAGAATTGTGTAATTTTGTTTGCTTATGCGTTTTTTTGTGTTTTGTCATGCTTTAAAGGATTTTTATTACTTTCTTTTCCTATTCGTAGTGTATGAAGAAGAGTTAGGGTGGAAACATCCCGTTTTGTGCCCCCCTGAACCATAGTGGTTTTTGAAGTGGCTGTGTGCGGTGTTTATTTTTATGTTTAGATTATTACGGTGATTACATTTTTTTTTCTACAAGTACTCATTCTAGTGTAAAGTAATGTGTCCATTGGGTTTTTGCTTTGAACTGTTTGAATTGAAAATGTTATCTGTAAATCCTCAACTTTAAAAGTTATTTAAAGAAAATTTATTTTCAGCTGACGAAGTTCTCAGTGACAATTCTACAGGATTCCCTGAACCTGTGAAGAAGACTTCTCGCAAGAAGAGGCTTGAAGTACCTGTTTTTAGAAAGCAAGAGATATTACCTGTGAAAGTCGAAACCTTGAGTAAAGAAGAACCTGTAGAAACAAAACAAGAAGTTGCCAAACTCATGCAAAATGATTCTAACGATCCTGAAGAAAAAGAAACTGTGAAACCAAAATCAACTGCGTACACGACCACATGGGCCTACAACAGAGAGTTGAAGGAAGGACAACACACAGGTTTTGGTTATGGCCATGACTTCGAATCCGACCCAAAACAAAAGAGTGGCAAAAAGGGGATGATCCAGTTTGTAAAAGCTGATACTTTGATGCCTAAGACTGAAGCTGTTGTAAATATACCAAATAAAAAACTTGCAGTTGAAGAAGTTAATGAGGGTAAGTAAAATAAATATGTTCTACTAGAAGTTAGAGTTATATATATTGATGTCTTTACATACAATAATAAAGGTTTAGCAATCGAAAGCTTACACCGATATTGTTTTATTGGTACAATTTGTAAATTTGGTGATAAAAATTGTATAAATAATCATACAATAATACCCTACTTACATTCTATGTATCCAAGCAGATTTCAAACTTTTGCTTAAATAATTTGTTTTCCAGAAAAAGAGATGTCCAGCGCAGAGAAGGAGAAAACCAAGAACTTGGCACAACTGTTGTCGGAGAAAGTAAAGTTTCTCTGCGAAGGCAAAGAAGTGGTACCCCCAGTGCAGGTTATGGCAATCCAACTAGAGGTCTGTACATTTAAATGTTACGTAGTTGAAAATAGATAGGAATCCTGAAGGACTTGCATGAATTTTACCTGTTCCAGTTCTTCATCCAATAAATATGAAAAAGCTAAATTGTTTGTTAGAAGTTAATATAACGGGTGTCCCAAGAAGAGGTCCCTATTTTTGAATTAATATATTAGACGCCCCGAACACTCTACAAACCTGAAACTCAAATAACAGTCCTAACAAACACATATGTAAAAGAAATACCGCTGTGTAGAGGTATCAGTTAATTCTGACACAGGACAAAAAGGTGGGATATCAAAGAAATAGTACCTTTTTGATAACTTAGAATACAATTGCTGATTTGGTTGGTTTTTTTCACCTTTTTGTTTGGATCAGTCAGAATTATTTGAGACTTGGAGTTGGGACCTCTGTAGGCTATGTTATAAGCGGATGTTATTACTACTTAATACTTCTGAGCATGAGATTTTGGGTAAAATATCAAGGCTCCTGTAATTTCTTGCTGAGTTTTTGTATGAAATGAACCTTATAATAATCTTAGCAAATTCATAATTATCTCCCACGATTGCGGTAAAATCACCGAATTCCCCCCCCCTCCCCATCATCCCTGATAACAGACACCTCATCATCACTCCCGATCATAGCAAAACCATGAAAATCTTCCGTGAATGCAGAGACATATTTACCTTCACTTGGGATTGCGACAAAATCATGGATTTTCAAATAAAAATTCTTGGCAGATGCTGTTTTGCAATTGGAATATTTCTAGAATCACCTTTAGCTTGATTTTCTGACACGATGCTCCATCGTTCCAGTTCTTCCCTATCCAATATCTGATGTTGTTACAGACCCTGATGGTGGCACACAGTGGTGGAGGTCTGAGTGTCCAATACCTGCGACAGTGGCTGACATCACTGGACGACCAGCTAGCCTCACTAGAGCTGGTCGCGGCCCCTGAGGGCTGGCTGTGTCAATGGGATAGGTACGTCTACTCACACTCTTACTACTTCACTACTACTCTGTCAGAACTTGTGTGTTGACCATTGTCTCCAGATTGCCTAAACGCTCTAGCTGGGGGCCTCAGTCATAAGTGTTGCCACCGACCTTCGACAAGGCTGGTGTGAACAAGGTAGGACGGTAACGGTTATCTGTGGGTGGTCGCATTAAACTAGTACTGTCACTGTGTAAACACGGAGGATTCAGTCGGTTTTGTCAATGATGATACAATTGCCCTTAGTTTAGAGGTTGGCAGCCTTTTCTAACCTTGCATTTGCCTGTTCACATAGACTAACTGCCCTTGTGTGGATCGTATTCAGCAATACAAAGGGTGAGCTGAGAGAACTGTACTGATAAAATGTTTGCGATAGTGGTCAGGATCCGAACCCACAACATCGCTGCCTTGTGCCGAAGTCCCCGTCGCTACCGACAGAGCCACCAACTCACAAATACCTATTCGCTATCTGCTATTCGGGAGTCCTTCATAAATTGCTTCCCAAAATCTACCCCCATTACCTTAAAAAGTGATGAAAATCGGATTGTGATGCTTAACAATGCTTAGTGAAGACGCTTTATTGACTTGTTCATTAGTCCTTCTGTGATTTCTTGTACACTCTCAAAACTGTGAAAAATCTGTAAAACATTGGCTACGGTCACGGTGAAATTGTGAACGGCTTGTGTGGTCACTGCAAAATCGAGAATAGCTTCTACGGTCATGGCGACATCATTTTCTCCCATGATTGTGGTAAATCCGTGAAAATTATCTGTGATCACACAAAATCTTAAATTTACAATCGTACGTCTTCACAAACGGGAAATTAAACACTTGTCTTAATTTAACCCTTGCTGGTAAAATGATTATCATTTTCAGTTTGATCAGATTCCTTGTGCCATCGGTTAATCTGACTAGAAAATTTCACGGTCCCGCAGACCCCAAGTGTATTCTTTGCAACCGGGAATCTTGACCAAGAAAACCAGTATTTACTGCCGTATAGTCCAGGGAAAATGTGTGAACTTTTTTTAAGTTCTGTGACTGCGTGAATGTGACAGTATTTAGTTAATATGATAGCCCACATGGAGTATTTTTTTGAGTTATTAATAGCAGAAATAAACAACAGAAAAGTGCAGTTTATATCTGCTTCAAAATCGCTGACCAGCACAAAGAAGCACAATAGATTGGATAGAAATTTATAGGATGTTTACCTTTTCTTTAGAATTGTATAACAAATTTACTATAATTTTTTTAATTGCTCAAGAAAAAAGTAAATCCACCTGCACTTTTCAGTTGTTAAGTTTACCGCCTACACTATATTACCATCTATATGCATTTGAAATTGGCTTTTGAAACTACTTGATTATTGTATTCTTGTCCATTATTTCAAGATTTTATACTTTGATCATGCCGTAGGTTGTTTGCCGAGATAATCTTCTCTGCCGTCAGCTGTGCCACTGATCTCTTTGAAGCGTTTGTTGTCGTCTCTGATGTTTTTTAATCATTTTAACCCATAAATCTTTGTACAAGGTTTAGTTATAGCACCATATGTAGTTATTGTTATAAGACTATGTATTTAGGGAAAGTGTTAATAGTCACTTATGTACACACTATTGTAGAATTTTGTTAAGTTGAATACTTTTCCATAATTAGTAAATGGTGGTTTGTAAATTATTGGTCAACAGATTATATACAGTTTTTAAAAGAATGTATCCTAGTTTAAAACCTTGACTAAAGATACAGAGCTGTAGCCAGTTTTTGTTAAGGAAAAAACTTAGTTTTAATTGTACAACTTAAAGATTTAAAATTCTAATTTATTTTGTGTCACTCTAATTATCATAGTTCTTAATTATCGGAGAGCGAGCTGGTGTGGTGGTAAACGTAGGATTGCGGTCCCACGCAAGGGATTTATATGGGTGTCAAGAGTTAAATTTATTTTAGTCTTTGTTGTTTATGAAACATTATGTTCTTTATGTAGTCACATATTATGTTATTATCTCCAGGTTTCGATTTGAAAATAAATATTTTATTACTACCTCTGTATTTTTTGGTAGTTTTGTTAAGGCAACTAAAAGGTTCGCATTGAGGATTTGTGATCCAGGATTTAATTTTTTTAGTTTTGGTTCCACAACTCAAAATTTCTAGTGTTGACCATCACTTACTATCCAATAGTAGTAGATAGAAAATAATTTTTTTAACTAGGGAAACATACTTAGAAGCTATACTTTCATAGATTTATCGATGCTAATTGTTAACTTCTAGGTGTAAAAAGTAAATTGAAAATACTCTGTGCTGACAGTTAATAAAATTAATTTCCTAATCTGTAAACAGCCTATGCAGAAGATAAATATTTGGTCGTTTAGAGAGAGAAAAAAAAATTACATTGATAAAATTTTAACAAAAATATGGAATATCAGTCCATAACCACTCCTTCTAGCTCTAAATCAGCATTTGACATTTGTTGAACAGATTTTTAATCCCCCGAAGTAAATTAAGTATACAGTAGACTCCCTCTTAGCCAGACTACTCTTGGCAGAAGTAACATTCTTTATCCAAACAATTTTTTGTTTAACCAGACTGGATCGGAAGATAGTGGGCGGTACTGAAAAGACTTTTCTTGTGGGAAAGATTTTGATACCAGTGATCATGAATTTAAATACAATGCTCTCACAAAGGTTATAAAAATATTTTGTTCAGTTTTCAAGTGATTTCCGTGGTATGCACATTTATCGAGAATCGTGTTCAAATAGTGACGTTCCTAATTTAACAAGTTTTAGGGGACGGGTTCAACCGGAAAACCTCTTATCCAGCTGCAGTCCCAAGAAGCCTGGATAACAGGGAGTCTACTATAAAAAAAATTATTATTACCAAACCAAAAGAATGTTAAAGTCTAATACTGCACATTACATTGGTTTGACTCTCTAATTCCCTCAAAGAAAGTTATTTCCTTCTGATCTGCTAGGATTGAACCAGTGATCATCTGGCACCTAGTGCAAGGCCGATCTTCTCATCTGCTTTAGAACTTCAGCTTAATATCTTCGTTAATTTAAAAGTTTTCTCATCAATATGTAGGCCTATAGCTTAAATGCTTGTTGTATGGTAATGTAATACTTTGTGGAAATTTTTTATTTTTTTTTTTTGAAGCTATACAAAATTCAACATGTTTGTGTATTTGGAATTTTTATCACTAAACTTTTTTTACAGTATGTAATTTACTTTTATTTTATTGAAAGTTTAATGTAATGTAACATCCAATTGAGCACAGCAGATGTCAAACAGATACATTTTTTTTCAAGAAGAGGACATGAAAATAACTGAAGAGAAAACGCAGCTGGCCTTCCTTCTAATTAGGCTATTCCTTACTGAAAATGTTGGACTATGAATTTAAGATTTTCATTTCTCTATGTACTCTTAATTTGCCTATTAATTTCTTAAAATATTTTAAAGTACGTTACTTTTATAAATTGTGTAGTATATTATTTGACTTAAGTTTTTCTGTCAAATTATAAGTCATACTTCAATAGTGACTAGCCTATATAAATTATGAATGATGAACAGTCTGTTTCTAATAAATATCTTGAACATAAATTTTAAATTTGTTTAAAAACTGTTTATTGTAAAAAGCAAAATCACAAAAAATAATACAAATTTTAACATTATTAAGCTCTTCTAAGCCATAGCAATATTAACAAAATTTTGTGTTTGGTTATTTTATTTTATATTATATATTTGGTTAAATAATTACATCCGGTTCAATCCTTGAGTTCAGTCCTTGATCTTAAAAGGAATCAATGTTTATAAGCATTTAAAACTATTGATTGTCAAATAAATTTCATGTTTGCTTATGTAATCATATAAATTTGAAAACCCATTATTTGTCATTATATTTTATGATTGTAAAGATGAAATTTGTAATTTATTAACATTATTAGTGTTCTACAGCAAACCTTGGCTTTTACTATAGAAAATTAAGACATTTGGCATCCAGATTCATATTATTTGGTTTTCAGATATTTTATTCTAACATTATTCTCACTGATAGACTTAACTTCTAGTAGGCCTAAACTTTGTAATCAGATTCACCTACACCAGTTACAATTTAATTATTATCTAGTAAAATTTTTAAACCAAGGTTTGCTGTATGCAATGTCAATCTTTGGATTCCCTAAATTCTATAGGTAGTTTCTTGTAAATCTTCGTAAAGAGAAAATGGTTTATTAGCTTAACATTATGAATAGTTTGTCTTAAAAAAAGGTGATATTATGTTGTTTGTTAATGATTGAAAATAATTTCCAATGTTTCAAAGAATTAGACGTTCAGAATTTGTAGGGTTTTACAATTGTAATTTTTGTTACCATTTTATTTTTATATTTACAGTTTAAGTGAATCTTATTCTTGTGATTAATTTTGTTCATTCCAGCAACCTCAGCCAAAAATCTTGGTATTTTATAAAATGTGTACCATTTTATAAAATATGTTCATGATTTTCTAAGAATCCGTTTTAGTTTGATGGGATGAATTCTTGACATGCTTTAATCATATACATCAATTAATTACAGTTTCATTGACACAATTTGAATTTTGATTTTTTAACTGGTTTTACATAGGACATATTTCTTGATTCCATCCACTCTAATACACAATTGAATAGTTCAAGTGTTAATAAAACAGATACAGTATTACACTCATGCTAACAAAGACAGTTATGATTTTATTTTAGTCTAAAATAATAATAATATATTATTAAACTAACTCAATCATGATCATAAAGATGATATAGGTTGTTAAAGACTGAATTGTCCACTTATAAATGATTAAATTAGTCATTTCACCAATAATCTTACAAGCTCTAAATGTTACATTTGTAAATTACAAATTATATTTATTAAATAACCATTTTACTCAACCATGTTGCAACTAAACATTATCTGGATTAAAAAAATATTTCTTGAAGAGTGACACACACACTATGTGAGTAATTATCAACATCTCTCCAAACTTTACATGTAAATAAACACAAGTATTTATTTAAAACTTAAAATATTTCCTCTTTCCCTTAAACTTTATCCCTCCCCGCCTCTCCCTTCGTCCGCAAGAGCTGTCTCAGAAGGATCGTGGAAAATGGTTTGTACTGTTTCATTACCTTTTCCATTTTCCAATACACGACGTCTCATCCGTTTCGTTTTCTGTTGCGGCATATAGGTCGTTCAAGCGATATTTCTATCGGAACAAAGCAACGGGCAGCATCCAATGGGAGTACCCGGAGGTTGGCGCTGCTGAGCCCCCGCCAGGACCTGCACAAGGTGGAGAAGAAGCTATGGAGTTGTGTGACTCGCCCCAGCCACAATCGCCAGTCACGCCTCCGCCGCCACGTATCTCGTCTCGCTCGCCTTCGCCACCTGTATTGCCTGGTAAGATTGTATTTCGGGGTCCTTTTTAGCTACTCCCGCCAGTTCTTAGTATAATTAATTGGTTTATGATTTTTTGTCTTCTTAAAGTAGTTTTACTCAGACAACCCACCGACAAAAACAACTAGTTATAATGGTGAGAAATGTTTGGATTTACCAAATGAAATTAAGAGAGAAAATAATTACAACTCATTCAAACGGAAGTTAAACAATTATTTGATTGACATAACTTATATTAATTCAAAGACCTGAGCTTACCTTGAGAATTGCATGATCTTTTAAGTCATTTTAACTCTATTCAACTCACTTTGTTGATGTATAAATATATTGAAACCAAAATGGTGATTTCCATTAAATACATGAATATAAGCCACAAACATTTATCAATTGAAGTGGTACGGTTGAATTTTGTTTCTGACACGGTTCTAAAACAGACGCAAAGAACAAATTCTTCTCAATTTCAAATTCTCTTCCCGTTGCAAAGCACGGGTAGAGCAGGTAGTAATGAATAATGAATAAAGACTCATTTTATTTGAATTAGTAGGATGTACAATTTTAATGGCAAGTTAAAGAAAAGAAATGGGTCAGTTTGCTGACAAATAATGTTGGTGTTTAAGGGATTACTGCCGACATTTCACAATATTTCGGGATCAGATTCTCAATTTTTACTAATTGTGATGGGAAATGTCCGCAATAACCCTCAAACCTCGCCAACCCACCATCACCAAGAGTGAACTTAAAGAATTGTTTATTTATCTGTTGTAGATGAGCCAGCGCCGCCTCTACCGCCTTTGCCACCACCCCCGCCGTTGATCAGTGAGCCTCCTCCACTACCACCTCTGCCCCCATCACCCCCGCCTCCGCCTCCTCCACCCGTAATATCCATATCTCCAGGTGAGCCCCTGCCTCCGGGTGTAGACATGCCGGAGTATGAAGGTGATCGACCCCCTCTGCCTGCTGCACCTCCACCACCGCCACCTCCCCCGCCGCAGATCAGCGAACCAGCTGATCAAACATATGCGACGTATGATGTACCTGCACAATATGACATCCACCAGATGCAAGGGGTATGTTTTTAGTTTTTAAGTTTGAATTTGTTGTATACAATATGTGTCGTGCCAGTACCGAATAAAAGATTTAGCCCAATACATTTTGTTCGGATGTATGGCGGGTTTTCAGTATTTTTTCAAATGGACAACCACTAGTATTTTCAGTCAGAGTCATTATTTTTTATTACAGTTTTTGGTAAAGGAACAATCTAAATCCTGGTCTTGTTTTTATCTAACTTAAAACTTTATTTAAGAAATGGGTCTGCCCCAGGATTTTAAATTGTATATTAAGGAGAATAGCAGCTAGCTTGCTATCCTCTTATTCTACAATTTAAAATAACATGAACTTTTGTTGGATATAGCATAATTAATTAATAGCCCAGTGACAAATGGCATTAGGTTGAAGGATCGATCTTCCTTGGAATCTAACCGGTTACCTTCTTATTTGAAGGTGAAAGCATTATAACCTGGCTATTCAGGTAATTTTCATTTAATTAAACTACTTGTTAAAGAGTTCACTTAGACAGAGGCGTAGCCCCATAGCTAAAACATAAAAGAGAGTAGGACTAGATAGCATACAGTTAATCTAAAAGAACAGTATTTGAGTTTTAAAGGTTCCAATAACATAATTAACATTACTTGTCTTAATCGTTGATTCTGTATTCTGTTCTGGTTTGATTTCTCTCTCAATGTACAGAACACAATCCAATTTAACACATCCTAGCGTTTCAGGTTTCTAGCGTTACACTAATTCCAGCTGTTATATGTTATCTTTCTTCTAAAGACCCATTACAAATATTCAACTGGCTGGGTATCTGAGTGGTTATAGTGCTAGCATAACAATAGTAGCTTAAAATACACACCTACATAAGCGTTGCTGTCTTAAAGTAATAATTATAATAAGAAGGTTTCCTCTGTCACACAGGTATCACAAGATTACAACAACACAGCGTACACAGGCACCTACTCAGCTCCTACAGGGGATTATGTGATTGCCCGTCCCCCCGCCAGCACTGTACCTACGCCATCTACTATCAGTCTGGCTACTGAGTTGGACTCGTTCTACAACGAGGTGGCTGCATTAGAGCCTCCGCTGCCCCCGCGGGAACCTAGTCCTTCCCCCCCGCCACCACCTGCACCTGCCTCACCCGCGCCTCCGCCTGTAGAGGTGACTAGCAAGAAGAAGAAAAAGGTTGGTTTCGATTCTGCACAGAAAGTAGATTCAGTGAATGAATGTAATGTAGTAGTGTGACGGGAACGTGTGGGAACAGCATTCTCTTTGTTTTTTTCAAGTATCCTACTTTCTCCAAGTCGCAGCACAATAATGGCTAAATGAATTGAAAAATTTTAATAATGCATTCATTTAAGTTGTATGTCTCCTGCAATGGCGGCAAAATCGTGAACATATTCTGTGGTAGGGGATAAACATTGGAAGATATCTTTGCAACTGAAGTGAAATTGTGAATTTTCCTTGGTTGCGGGGTAATTGTGATTCTCTTAAGCAATTGCACGGTCAAATCATGATCATCGCTCTGAGCAGACGATATTGAGACCTCCTGTCAAACTAATCCTGGAGTCATCAAATGGCGACAGGTTTTAATAACCAGGTGTCAATTAGTATCAGAAAAATGTGAAATTCTTTTACTCATTGGAGATTATTACAAGTCAACAAAGTCCTAACAAACACTTAACATACATTGAAATAAACTAACAAAATACTATAAAACGTAACTTATTTTTAAGGTCTTTTCAAGTCGACCTTTTTAGCCTGAAATTCAACATTACGCACTGTAATGTGCAAGACAATGGAGGAGTTTTGAATTTTTGACTTCTATCTAATAACTACAATCAAATATCTCTAACATAATGCTCATTATCGTTTGCTCTTTACAGACGAAGCTAGCACCTGGCCTTACCTTGAAGAAAAAAGGTGTTTCCTCTCTAGTGGCTAAATGGCAACAAGTCCAACAAGACGTTAGAAGAGAAACGGAAAAAGAAGAAACTGAATCATAAATAGCATTGTAATTACCATTGTATATAGTGTACAAAACGGATGCTTGTTGTAATGACTGACCTATTTTAAGTTTTAATAAATAAAATATTTATTTTGTAAATGATGTGATTGCTCTTGTACATAAAAATAAAGACTGTTCGTAAAATAAATTGCTATTTGTAAATGTTTTGATTTTAGTCTTCCCTATCTGGCTATGTAAAAATTAAAATCTCTGTTAGTCAGTGAGAAGTCAAGTGAGAGTTACATCTTATCGTCTCGTCTCTTCGCAATATCTTAAACTGTAGAAATTCCTCAAAGGAGTAAAATGATATTTCCACTTAGAATTTCATTAGTTTAGAGAAACATTTTCTGATATTACAATTTTGTATATCTTGGTAAAATAATTATCTAATGTTGGGACCACGAAGGTTTGCAGTTGAGGGAGGAGCCTATTTACTACGTAACATCGAAGGAGCCAATGAGGACAGTGCGGTGTTGCCAAATCTAATAATACCAGCTGATTTGAAAATATTGTTTAGTATTTTAATTAGTGTCGTCAATGGGCGATACGGCAACGTCGCACTTGCCTTGTCTTGTGATTGGCTGACGCCAACTGCAAACTATTGTGGTGCCAACTGAAGAGCCTCCGTCGTTTAAATTTTTTTTATTTGATCTGTTTTAAATAAAATTTTGTTTATTTCTGATATTATATTTATTATTGTTATGCCTTCTTAGTTCTATTTGTATTTCTGGTAATTTGGTAAATAATGCTATTTTGTATCTTTTATTTTCTAATGTACATAAATTCAAAAAAATGTTAGGATTTTTTAATTAGATAAATTATATTTTGCACGCTCATTTAAATACAAATTTAGCATCAATCAAATAGCTTATATATATATAAAAGAAAATACAAAAGCATAACACTTGTTTTAGAGTCAAAAGATCACAAAGGACATCCTTCAAAGAACATAAAAGCCTGATGAAATTTTGCCTACAACATGTTGGACTTAATTTTATCAATACTAATCCCTAAAGACCTAGCTTTATACAGAAAGATTCTTTAGTAGGGTTAAAACTGTTGTAGGGTAAAACTGGTCAGTCAGATTTTGACCCAGTTACTACTGGTAGGGGGGAACACCAAAACTAACACAGGGAAGGGAAATGTAGCAGGCATCACACTATTTGCCCTAGAGATATTATCATAGACTAAGCAACACAAGGGAGTATGTTTTCTATGCTATTATGTACCTGTGAAGAGCATTTTGTTGATTTTGTTATTTTGCTTTCCAGTGTTATATACACTTTGATTGCCTACCACTGAAGAACTGCTTTGAGTCAAGGTAAGTACATGTCTGCAGCCTAAGTGTTTATATTTACATTTATATAACCTATTTATACAATGTCAGAAATATCCAACAACAACAACAGACCCCACAACAATCCACCCGTTCTGTATTTGCTCCCACTTATCTTGATATATATTTCATGCTTGATACTAATCCTCTATTTTTTTTTCAGTGAAAGAATGGTGAAAAATGTAAGAGACATGATTACTGTAGAAGTTACTTCCGTAAAACCCCATAGGATGGATCAAGACAAGAAGCAGATACATTCTCTAAATAAAATTTGCCTTAATGAATTTGGACGTTTTACGAGAGCAGTTAAACACAAGACATCAATGTATCAATTGGCTTTCCAGTTGTAACATTTCAACTGATGTCGGGCAAAACTAGATAAGTGTGGCACAGTACTTATGATAAAACACTGACAGAAAATATTGACTAGCACTAGTACAGATAAATGAATCAAAGGAAGTTGAAATGCTAGAAGAAAAGAAACGGCAATGAAAACAGGAAAATGATCTTAATAGAAGTGTTTTTCACAAAGATTTTAGGTTTTTTTTAAGTCTCGTGCCCTGCGTAGCTAATAACAGGAACAAACTTGTGTTTCCAAATTATGTACACAGTATAGTAAAAAAATGCGCACATGTATGGAGTTTGAGTCTTCATTGCGTTCTATTACTGTTTTTTTGGCTATCCTTGGTCTGAGCCCTGTGCTACGTTCCCACATAGGGACAGCCTGTACAGTTTACAAAACCTTGAAGATGTCGCAGAAGTCTGGTGTTGAGCAGATATGGAGTGGAAATTTGAATTTTAATTTATTTAAGAAAATTAGTGCATTTCTTTGATTTGTACAAATTTTATTGTATCACAACACAATTAAGAGAATTGTATTTTTTACAATTTCAATCGCATGCAAGCTTAATGTAGTTCAAACTGATTCTCTTCAAGAACAATAAATTTTATCATGGTGTATACTGAAGTATATTTTTCTACTTTATTAGCATATCCTGGCTTTCAATCTTATTTTATAAAGATATATCCTATCACTTAATTATCATATCAATTCCTCAATTCCTTTAAACTGTTAAACAATGTAATGTTATTTCATTTTAAGCTGAATTTCGTGTAAAATGGATATACTGTAAGATGCCTTGTACACCTCGGTCATCATGTCTCATATCACGATTCATCGTATTGACTTCTAATAGCAATAAATAAATAAACACCTGTCATGGAGTACTCATTGCAAATTTGCATTAAATTTTGCACAAGCTTTCAAAATAACACCGTAAAATAACCGACTCACCTTCCACTGCCGAACAAATAAGCTTGCTTGTGAAAACCAACTAATTGTTATTAACACCTGAATAAACAACACATGAAGTCAACACATTTGCCGTGAAACTAGCATCATTACTAAGTTGTGCAAATCGCTTTAACCAACAAATTCCTTAAACAAGACAGCACTTCTGTTTTTAGCGAATATAGCCATATAGGGAATAAGCTATACTGTAGTTCTCATGGTAAGACTTGGACCCGGGACCGATTTACTTTTTTGTTTAGATGTCCCTAGAAGCCAAAAACACCATCCGTTCAAATTCATATATATATGATTGGACCATGGGAACGGGGTTTATGGGGAATTTATGGGGTAGAAGCTGTTTTTTCTTGTATTTGACTCTCAAAACATAACATTTCCCAATTTCTCTCTAAAGAGCTTAAAAAAAAAATAATTTAGGATACCAAGGTTTTTTTTTACAGTTTTTAGTAACGGAGAAAATTAAACAAAATTTTGAATTAAAATCTCCCATGTTATTCTCATGGAGAATAAGTAAACTGTTGTAGTTTGCTTGTTTATGGATATATTTGGATCAAACTTGGCAAATCTATTTATTTTATTCTAAGCTATTAATATTTCACAAAAAAACACACTTTATTACCCTCCCTGGCAGCAAAACTAGGTGCTACTCGTAGTTAAATCTAATGTTATTTGAATGGATTTAATTGAAAATCAAATCAGGCGAATGGAAATTCAATTAGTCTGCAGGTTTGCTGTGGCGGGGGTATTTTGTAAATATGACAGATATCTTTTCCTTACTACATAGTACCTAATTATGTTTTTGTGCTGTTATGTCACTATATGTACATAACTGTGACATTCCATCCCCAAGTCTATGTTTTAACCAGTTTATGAGTGTTTTGTCGGAATTTTTTTCAATCGGTCCAGACTGAAAGGGCAATCCAATATAACTAGTTTTGTTGAGATAGGAATACTCTAATGAGAAACAAGTTTTGACAAAATAAACACAATACTTTACACTTCAAAACAGTATTTCACTGTCACTAGGTATTTTTGCAAAATGACTGAGCTAGGAATAAGAATATTACGGTAAGTCTGTAAAAATGTACGAGTTGTGTTTCTTATACCAGGATGGTGTGTTATCGAAGTCCCTTGTGCCTTATGTTGTTGTAAACAATAGCATATTCCTTCACAATGGCAATAATTCCATTATTGTGTGAAACAAAACCTGAAGGAAATAAAACTTTGAAAACACATAAAACGATACTCTTAAAAATGTTCTCTTATACTTGTCCGAATATGGGAAGTCTACTCTACAGTATCGAATGGCGATGCTACAGTCTTTGCTTACAGAATCGTACTTGAGTAATTACCAATTCAAATGCCTTATGATTACTGATGCTGCATATTTAGTATCTGTTTAGGACACACATTGATAGGTGTAAGAGATCAGTCTTAGTCTTGTCTTGTCTTCACACCAGTAAAAAGATTAAAGCTAAGAAAGTAGGAAAAAATATACTAACTGTAAACTACTGTACGAGTCAACAGCTCTTTTTGCTAATTTCCCAAAAGGTAATATTTAGCGAATCTCCCCTATAGAGAATAAGCTATTACCGTAGTACTCATGGTAAGACCTGGACCCGGGACCGATATATTTTTTCGTTTTGAGGTCACTAGAGACCAAAAACACCATCCGTTCAAATTCATATATATTATATATACCTACTAATGCAAAACTTAAATCAAGCTGTGCAACGGAACCATATTGATGATTAAAAGATTACACCAAACTTGATTGAAGCAACAATCATCAGAGGTAAGTTTTACGGAGAAATAGTATAATCCCAAGAATACCGATGATTTCATCCAAATTACGCTTTGGATTCAAGCGACTACAATTTCCTTTTTCTCTTGCTTTCGTAATCACCATTATAAGGAACAAGGGCCCCTGACTATTGCCGGTTTAAATTTAGAAAATGCATTCTTTTCACTCGGACAGCTGTATGTTGCGTGCTCACGTGGTGGTAGGTACACCAAAAAATTATATATTCATACATCGAATGAAAAAACAAAAAAACCTTGTTTATCCACTGGCAATTAAGTAAAATATTCTATTTTTGTTTTTGGTATATGACTGGTGTTTTCAATCGGCTTGGGTGGTTTAACATTTTAGTCCTGATTTTCTCTAGATTAGCTCAACAACAGTGTTCTTTTGTAGCAGATCATAATTCATAGTTTATAACCGTTTGCGATTGCCACTAACATATTTAGTTCCAGGCTTATCTCCATCTTACAACTTGTGTTAGGTATGGTCATAACATAGTTTTATCAGTCTCTGGTTTAACGAGTTCTGTTTACTTGGCTACTAGGAGGTCACGAATTGTGGATATTTATAGGCATGCACTGTGGATGCGATACTCCCTGGTGTGGATTAACGTCCGCACGAGTGAGTACTATGATTATCCGCAGTACTATCCTGATAATTAGACCAATTTGTATATACCAAAGAAAAACGTGGTTCGGATTCCACTATAAACTGTAGGCCCCTTAGTTGCCATTAGCTGTATGGGCTATTAATTAACAGCTGTGTCTAAGGAATGTCGGCCTTAGTCACTAACAAGACAACAAGATCGCGCCACTCATCTTCATTCATACTAGGCTTAAAATACCTACTATGTATGGTCGCCATTTCATTGAACAGTATCTACCTATTTGGAAGTGAAGAATAAGATTTAAATTCATTTTATGTCCTACATAGCTCAAATTTAACACCAAATTTCAATAACATATTACAAGTACGAGTATGTGCTAGACAAAAACTTTTCATTTACAGAGAAAGAGGGGGGGATGTCCTACTTTTTTTCCATAATTCTTTTAGGTCTACCTCTAATGTTTCGTTTCTAAGGAAAGCAAATTATTAGAGTTAGCACCTGAATACATTCTCCAACTTAGTTTCACACTTTTCTCAGGTCCCTGGATCGGACTGAGAAAAGCGTGTAGCTTTTTGATGGTTCGAAACAGGACCCAGTAATCATTGGACTTTTGCCAAATGAAAAACTGGTCTTACAGTAACAAAATTACGCAAGGCATCTAACTCCATTTTACTCTCACATGTGGGTTAAAATACGCACCTACGTGTGTCTCCATCTGAATTGATAAATTTGCTAAAAAAAAAAAAATGGTGTAGTCAACCCATTTTACCACCTTGAGTATGGAAAATAACATAACTAGGTTAGTCGGTCCGTTGTAACCTCAAGACTAATAAAGGTCAAAAAAGTTATTGCGTGTTAAAGTTAAGTTGATGCCCACACTGTACATCTTATCCTTACTACCTGAATGATGATTGCTTCATTTAGGCCCAAAGTGTCTTCAATTTGAATGAAGTATACTACAGTAATTTTTTTTCTCTATGGACCATAGTAGTCTTGTCAAATATCATTCATGATTATTCAATAATAACATGTCATGTCCTTGTATAATTTTAGCACAATGGTTGGTGAAACAATACATGCCAGAATTGTGTGGAACCTTTTAAAATCTCATCTTGTGATCCCAGAGATCCACTTTTATGAAATTACTCTCAAAAGTTAAACAGTGTGTGTTGTAAAAAACCTCAAGAATGTATTAGATAGATTTTCAAATCATATGTGCAATTGCATTGAGAAGTACAAGTTTGTTTCAGTCAAGACTATAACATGTAAAACCCAAGATTTCTATCTCATTACGAACATTTATAAAGTTCAGGAAAATAAACACAAGTATATGGTGGAAACTAAATGCTTTATTGCAAATCGATTAAGATATAAAATTATGAACACAGTCAAAATAAATTATGTTAGTTTCCAAACTATGTCATAGTCAAATATACAGATCAACGTTTGTCATGAAAATAAACACTAGGTCGGGCCAATTCAAAAGGGCAAGATTAACTTACTTAGTACTTTGGGGAATTGACATGAGGATATTTAATACAATTAAACAGTCTTAGGATAAAATGCACGTCGGTTACATATCTGATGATAAAAAATTTGGCAGCATCGTAAAAGGTAGTCGATTGAACATTAAACTTGACCTAACCCGATTCATTTTAAGTAGTAATAGTAACATTAGGTTTTACTAGACAGCTTCATATGCACCATAATACTGTTATCTTATTCACTAATAACAACATCAACTGTTTACATAACAACAGGGTCAATATCACGGGACAAACGTGCGCTTAGTAACAACATGTTTAAATTACTCACTTAAAATGCTGGAATAGTTAAGGGGTAGGTAACTAATTTGTACACATAGCCACCAGGTACATTCTAAGTACAGGTTCTTACACTAATAGATCCCCAACTTGTTTCCGAGCCCCAACGAAAATATATAAGAAGGAATGATGAAAATTAACACTGAAAAAAATTATCACTTTTACAACCACTCGGATGAGTCTAAAACTTATGAGGACAGATAAAAACGAAGTAGTTCATCAAGTGGGTATACCGCGGTAGTGGCGGATGAAAGTAAAAAAATAAAAACAGTTTGAATCAGTCTACCCACTCAATCACACACATCCTAGCACATCGAATAGACACAAATAATCTTAGGCAACCGGTTCTGCTACTCCGTTTTCTGTGGGAGCCTCTTCGTCTAGCTTGGCCTTCTTTTGCGGACTGACTGCATCGGTCTCTGCTGGGGCTCCGTCGGGGGCGTCTCCTGCGCCTTCCGATTTCCTCTTATATCCTGAATTCGGAGCTTTTACTCCATTCGTTTCTGGAAAAAAAACCAAAAACACGTTGCGGTTAAAACCATTCTGAAATCAATATTCTTTATCAATAAACTTACTTACAGTCAACTCTCCCGACTAACCGCAATTAAGGAGACAGCCATTTTAAATAACCACTTTTTTATAAAACAGTAGGATTTTAAAGACTATTTATATTCAAAGAGATCTACAACAGTGGGTTTTGTATTATTATTTTTTAATCACTTTCAAATGACAAGTATGCACAAAATAAATTTCTTTAAACTCCCCTTGACTAGCCCATTTTCGTTACATTAATTGAGTTTTTAAATGATGGTAAACCCAACTTTTAGTTTTGTGGAGTGCAGTTTAACGGGGGTTTTAGGATAGTGAAATTATGCAAATGTTCCAAAATTCAGGCCAACATTGTTACAAACTGTTCTCAAATGTTGTAGGGTACAATCTCGTTAAGTCAGTCAGCTTTAAGTCCAGACAGCCCGGATAGCATTTACAACAAATAAACATGATACAAAATATTATTTTTGGTAGCTGCTCTATAAGAGTACAATATTGATAGTCGAGCGCAAGTAATTATTGTTGTTTAGGTTAGGGCGCAACCTGGGTCTTTTCAGCAACTGTAAACCTGATGCGTAACCGAAGTGCTACAAGCCTGCGTAGTGAATCATTATCGCTGTTTGTTTTATTGTAATGTGGAAATATTTTCTACCTAAACAAAATGATTGCTAGTAGTCTTTTAATTTAACAGATTGGACGCGGCTTGTCCGTTTTAATGAGGTACTAGGCCTATTTATCAAAGGTTCTGAAATAACCAAAACTCAATACTGTAAATCTTTGGTATGAATAGAAACCAAAATATAAAAAGATTAGGAGGATAAGGGAACTGTAGTCTCATCTAAATTACCAGATAACTGTGAACATTAGGGGCCATAATGATAAGCTGATGATCTGAGGACAATAATTCAAACACTGTCAAAACACATTTTTCAAGTTTCCCAAGCTTTTGACCTGATTTGTCATTATGCTGTTACCAATTAGTACGAGGGGAGTTTAACTAATCCTGTTAAACGCTACCCCATAATAGACGGAGATACCCTGTGTAGTAGCTTTGCAAAAAGGTTTTAAATGTGTTCGACTAATACCGGTAATTAATAACATTTTAATATAGCCTAAGACTAAGATTTATTTAAGGATTCAAATAGATTTATTCCACAAACCCTACCAATGCATGGTAAATTGAACAAAAAGTGACCTCTTAACCAGCAACAATGACTGAAATTAGAAGGCAAATTGAAAATAAATCACTTAACAAAACAACACTATTGTTGCCACATGGAGCAATGACCTTGGACACAGAAAGCTACAGTTGGTCATATATGACTCACACCAACATGTTGAATATCAACTATTTAAAACGATTGCCAACCATACAAGTGTTAGGAGTGTAAAAAGTAATACAACATATATTTTTTAAGTCTATCAAAAAACTGTGAGTAGTCTAAGGAATGAATGACTAATTGGAAAACTAATTCAAATGTTTGTTTGAAAAGATCTATTTAAACTTATTATTAATCAATTTTAATGTAAAAACATAGGTAGTGATTAATATACCATTTAAACCCCATCTATGGACCAGACAGTGTCGGATTTACCACTAGGCCACTTTTTAATTTTCATTATTAAAAGCAGTCACAAGCAATGAGTATTATGTATTACTTTCCGCCCTTGTTCAGACTTTAGACTAACTTAGTTGCCAATTTTCAGTAAAATGCCTTACTTTCATCGGTAGAGTTTCCGTTTTCTTTCGTTTCTTCTTCCTTTGAGTCTTTTGAGTCCTCCTCGTGTTCCTCCGCCGTGCCGTTGTCCTTTGGTGTCTCGCTGTCTGCGTTTCCGTTTTCTACAGGCTTCTCCTCCGTCTTTTCTTCTACTTTCTCTACTTCCTTCTCAACTACCTTCTCCTCCTTCTCGACCTTCTCAACTTTCTTTTCAGGCGATGCCTGGGTGGGCCTGCAAAAAACACAGATGTTAGACCACATTTACACATAGAAATAAAACCAAATTGAAAACAAAATAGCTTCTTCCCTGAGGGGATTCACCTAGGCTAAAAAACTTATTTGATTATACGGCTCTGATCTATTGATCCTGATCAAAGAAGTCTGTGTTAACTTAGTAACAGAGTTTACACAATAGGTAATGGTACTCATCTTACACGCTAGCAATGATTATTCATAATATGCATGGATATTTTGTTAAAACAAAGAAAGAAATTAATTTTAAACATGATGTAAATTTTATTTCCTTGGCATTTTGGCCTGATTGCGTTTTATAACATGACAGAAGTAAAGTGAGTTAAACCCGTTTAAGTTCAAAGCTGACAAAAGAGAAATCCTAATCTTCAAGGTTAGGCCTTAAAAACAAACATGCCAACCTAACTTAACTAGTTTTTTAACTGAATAAGTTAAACCCATAAATGGAATTAGAAGACCGCCAAATCTTTGTTTTTCGATAAAGTGTAGCCCTCCTTAAGTTGACCTATCTTACTAAGTTAATCAACCAAAATGAATAACTTAATTTAATTCACAAATCCAAAGATTCTTAAAAAAAATTTCAAGTTATGAATAATTAATTTCTATTTCCTGTAGCTTACAGCAAGTTATTGATCAATAATCCACTTAAAACTTAAACTAAAAATTAATTTCAAAATTTAAATTAATTTTCATTGGCTAATAATTTCTAGGCTATATAGGCATCTAGTTTGAAGCGTGCATTCCAAAAAAATGAATTCCTAGCAATATTTAACAATAACTCAAGTCCTAGGTTTTACAGGATGTCTAACCATTTGGTCAAACTAAATTTCAGTGACTATGGGAAGGTACGAGGACACAAACGATGAAAACGTTTCACCTTTATAGCCTTTGACATGAGATAGGCCTAAGCCTAGCTTAATCATAATCATTATTTTGCGCCATAACAATTTGAGCTGGTTGCCTTCTCACAGAATATTCCCTCTCACCGATTACTGCATGAACTTAATCATTGCCTGCAGCAAGGTGGAAAACAAAAGACAGGTCTGGGGAACTTTATATTAGTTACCCTAAGTTAGGTCCGATTTTCCCCCGTGACCCCATAAGTTTAACTTAAAGGATACGCGTCTGGTAACCGAACTTGGATTAGGCGTACGTCACTAACATCACCGGGTTGTGGGGGGTCCGAAATACAATTACCACAACGATACGATATAGCCATCGGAGTTTGTGGTGTAGTGGATAGAGCACTCGGCTAATGAACAAGAGGTATCTGGATCAAAACACATCGGTGACACTTTTTGTCAAAGATTTTGCTTAGAATGCCATTTCTTCTTAACTGTAGGCTACATCTTTTGTTAAAATATGAGGTAGGCCTATTCATAATTTTATTTTATGAACAGAATTTAGCCTTCATTTGATTTTTAAAATTATCAGCCAGTTTGGTTAGTTAGGTTGTGACAGTAACTGCCCGGACGCCTATCCTGCGCCTAAGTTTAAACTTGGTTAACTTAAATCAGCGACTATTATGACCGATAAGACGCTTGTGACGCGTTGAGTTAAGGTGTTAGATCAAATATAAGGGACAGCTAAACTTCGGCCTGGTATCAAAACTTTTGTCCAAGTAACTCAAGTTCTGGAAACCACCAGCCGCTATGCAAAAAATTGATGACCAACTTAGGTCCAAGTTACTAACTTAGACGTTATAGGCTATAGGCCTACATGGAGAAAACCGGTAAGTTTAAACTATGATGAGACTGTATTATACTACAGCACTAAAATAAGTTAGGCTAAACAACATTTTGTTGTCATAGCCGAAACTTTACAATCAAGACCGCTAACTTATCTCAACTTAGCTCTAGACCAAAACTATCTTCCACATTAGCCTATGTCAAGGTATGACCTAACAAAGGTTCTCGGCATTAACACAGGCGCTAGCTTAAAAACGGTATTTGATGGGGATTGAAATCTGCACACTGGACATCAAACCTCCGCGATAGCCTAAGTTACCAGCTCGCTCCTCAAACACAACAATAATACACCAGTGCTAAGTTAAACCAGTGTTCTATTTAAACTATTTTTTAGGTTATGGATGAAACAAAGATCTGAAACAAAGATCAAGTAACTTAGGCCTAAGTTATGTTATAATGCAGTTGGCTGTCGACACCATGGAAGTCCCAATTAACTGAACCCATAAATAGAGGGAATCTAACTTAACATACAACTACCGGTAACTTACTTAAAAGCCTAAAACAAGCGACACAATAACTTGGTTAAAGAGGAAACTTGAGCCTACAGATGAACCTCACAAACTCAAACATTTTCAACTACACATTAACTTAGGCCTAGCCCTCCTAAGTTAGTGCACTATAGGTTAGTAAGTAATTAAACGGAATTTTGAAACGGTAAGTTAACTTAGCCTACAGCAAGTTTGGTTAGTTTTGTTAGTTTAGAAAAAGTTAGTACTTATCATTTCTTAATCCATGTAGGCCCCTTTATCGTAGGCCAAGCCTACAACTTATTATTTTTGCCTAAACAAGATTAATTTAAGTCAGTTCTCAATTCATATTAAAAGCGTTTGGAGATATTAAAACAGAAGGATTATGTAGCCTAAGTTATGGATCGTAGAGGAAAACAAAAATAGGCTATCGATAACAAAGTTACACCGAAAAGAAATTATCAATAATAAGTTAATTAATGAAAATTCCCTTTAACATTAGGCAAACCACTGCACCGACCTAGGCAAACCAGGGTAACTTACTTAGGCCTAGGCTAGGTTAGAATTACGTATTTATCTGTAGTAAAAAAAAACCCCGAATGAATATATTGATCGACCTATAAATATCAAATCATTTCTTTGGGTAAGCTACACTTCCATAACTTAAGTTATCTGTTGGCACAAACAACCGGATGAAAATATCGAACGATATATAGAATAATCAACAGGCCTGTCACTCTGGTTGTTTGATATAGAAGTGTAGGCCTAGGCCTACCCATTTTTTGGCTGCACTTTACTTACGTCCTACACTCATTCGAATGAAAATATTGATTTATTGATTGTGTCATTCGATAAGTAGGCCTATATTGTTTGGTTAGGTTAACCTTACCTAAGTTATTTTATTTTGCTTCCAACGGTCCAAACAAACCAGTTAACTATCAAATGATATAGCCTATCGATCGATATTTTCATTCGAATGAGTGTAAGTTCGGACATAAAGTAAAGTGCAGCCCATTTTATTATTTGGAGATTTTTTACAAAAGATACGGGAGTGTACCCCTAGGCTACATTCTTTAAAACGCAGTGTTAAGACGGGGTCTTTCACATCATCGCTTCTACAGTTCGGTAACCTAATGGCCTAAATTTAGCCAAAGCTAGCCTAACTTACAATTAAGTTAGGCCTAGGTACAATAGACCATAAGATAGCTTACATTTAGCTACTTCGTTTCAAATATACTATGGGCCTATTTGCTACTGAAATACCTATAAAAAACAACCCATGCAAAAATCAAGGTCACTTCTATTCACCAAGGCCTGGGCCTAGTCCTATCCTAGCCCCAAGTTATAGGCCTAAGTTAGCTCCTAAGTCTGGCAGGCATTAACTTAAACTTAGTCTACTTATCTTAGGCTACTCCTACAGCATTTAGATATCAACTACCTAATAGGCCCAAAACGCGTATTGACAATTATTACATCTATTTCATTTAGTGTGTCACCGCGCCGGTAGGCCTACGACCACGTTTCTGAAATGCCGGTTAAATTGGCGGGATCATCTCACGTGTTACCAAGCGAGAGTCAAGTGTTAAAATGCGGAATTACACCTTTCCAAATCAAGACAAAAACAAAAAATATATCCGGTTAATAAGGAGTATCAAGCATTGAAGGACATTTTACGAGAAACTAAGGAATGGTTATTATTACAAAGCACCAGAATGGTGGGCGGCCATGTTGTTGTGCGTCAACCGCCAAAACAATGCCGATGCTAGAAAGTCGCTAAATCTATGATTTTACATAAAACTGAACGTGTAAAACTACTTACTTTACTTCTGCTGCGGTATCGGCCATATTATAACACAAGTTTAACGTAATTAAAACGGTAATAAAGGCGAGAAAGCTGTATCAAATCGACTAACAACACCGACGACAACCGCTTCACTCAAACTCTCACTTCGAAAGAACGAATCAGCTTCGGCTTCACAAGTCTGGCGGCACGGAGCGGCGGTATGTCTTGAAATTCTGTTTCTGCGCATAGGTTTTGCGCATGAAGTGTTTCAGTGACCTTCTACACGAGTTCTTTTCCCGCGTTCACAATCTCTTGTAGCGGCAAAATAGATTACTTGATTTTGTTTATGCAGTTTCTGAGCATGCGGTGCTAAAATTGTATACGAAAGTTGTAAATTCCATGTGCAATAGAATATTTTAATCTGGGAATTGTAATTTACACGAAGAACTATTTTATTAAAATATGAAACATGTTTTTTTCAGAATTCATGTACAATAATTAAACCGGCTAATTAATAATTTGAAGTCTCTACAAATATTACAGATTTTATAGGCACTTGATTGTTATTTAATCATGCTTAGTTATGCTGGTCATCACTGTTACAACTGAAACTACAAAATATTTCTCATACCTTTCTCGCGTATAGATTATACTAACTAGGCTATTTACATAATTATAGGTACTAAACGTACTGTACTTTTTAAGACATTCCTTGTAATTTTTACGAATCAGCTACATTTTTGTCCAGGATTGTACTGGTATTTTGGGGTTTAACCATTATTTAACTTATTTGTTACTTCACAAAATTTAATTATAATATTTCAACTAATCCAAATGCTTCTGTGTAACTATTTCTTGTATCTATGTTATTATGCTGTATTTTAATCATAGACTCCTAGTAAATTATTTTGTTATACCTACTTATACAGTAATCCAATACAGTAAGTAAGGCTGCGCACGGCGTACCATTTATTTTCTCTTTAAAAAGCATAAATAAAGTCATATGAAAGTTTTGCTATGAAATCAATTATTAAAAAAAAATACAACACAAAAAAAGTCGCACGGTTACAAGTTCAAAATTTACGGTTTTCTAACCAATGGATCTTCGGAATCAATACCTAGTTCAAATAACTTTTTCTGAGAATGCTGTTTTCAAAGACTACATTGCTTTAAGTTATAAGTTATGTATTTGGATGTTGGATATGTGGAATATATTTGCAGTATAATGCTATAATTGTTTTCCATTGTAAGAATTTATGGTAAATATTGTGTAGTTTTCCGATTTTATCATTGCAACATTTCAAAAAATTCGAAATGCACTTTCTTGATTTACTTGTATTTACATTATCATACGTGATTTTTTACGATGTATTCGTTAAAATTTGACATTTTTCCTAAAAAGTGAACGCTTTTAAGAAATTTTACACCTTAATAACACATTTTCTCTTTATTTCCAAACTAAAAAAAACAGGTCATGCAAACGAGTAATTGATTCGTGCAATCAGCATTCTTTTTCCTAACACAATTTCATTTGTTGAACCGATTCCAGTTCCCCCTGTGTCCACTGCCTGCTAAATTATTCGCACATAAACACAAACAATAGCGACGAACAGCTGATCGATCTCGGGTGGAGTTTTGATGGATAGTAATTCACTGTCACTTTGGTCGAATCGATTGCGGCACGCATGCGGCTTATCACCTTGTCCTTATCACACCCTTACTGTTTCAACTGATAACGGAAAATATTGCGTATCGAGGTGCAGCTTTTGGTTGTTGCATTTCATGTATGAAAAGACAGCATTTGTAAAAAACATATAACTGTTTTAACTGCAACATCTAGATGCTTGTTAAAGTAATTTCGTTTTACAAAAGTAAGATTGTATGACTTTGGTAAACATATAAAATTAAAGTTGTAGTGTATGTAGATGGACTTTGGTAAACATATAAAATTAAAGTTGTAGTGTATGTAGATGGACTTTGGTAAACATATAAAATTAAAGTTGTAGTGTATGTAGATGGACTTTGGTAAACATATAAAATTAAAGTTGTAGTGTATGTAGATGGGTGTAAAAGTAGGTTTTCAGAGTTTTAGTATGTTGGTGATATTTTACATTTTCACATTAACTTGCTAATGTTCGTGTCTGTAAAAAAGCTAAGTAGCTTTTTTGCAATACGACCAGTGTTTTTTTGTGTGTTGGCATTTGAAGTTTTATTTGTGAAAATATATACCATTGTATTAGCTATTAGTATTCCTACCTCACCTCGAATATATTTATGCCTCGTGTGCAACAACAAACTATTCACATATCTTTAGAGAAACTTTGGGAAACTGTTCAACATCTGGGAAAGGTTTCTGTATTATTTCCGAAATTAAAATCCAAAGGAAGCAAGGGGGCATAAATGTTACTAAGTTAGAAGGGCCTTTTTGGTTCAATGCTTTTTAAATGGATATTCTCTACAAGTTCAAGTACATATATCACAAAAACTACTAAACCTATCATACTGATTTTTTGCAAACTTAATTACCATATCCATATCTTTATGTTAAACCACTTTTTAAATAAATATATCAACATAAAAAATTATTTTCAATAATTAAAAAATACAAATTTTTTATGCGATATTCTTAAAATAAAAATGAGTTATTTTTTAAATGAAAATTTTTAACTAATCAATATATGATTGGTTTAATGTACTCACCAAATACCCAGACTAATTCATGCAAAATTTTAAGTCTCTGTGTATTACAGTTTTTGAACTATGTGTACCTAAAGATAAAAAAAACGTTCGGAAAAACACACTTAAAGCTTTGCAGCACACACTTAAAGCCATAAGAATAGTGTGGCCGAAACCTCGGTAGAGTTAGCTTTGTTTATATATTGTTATCATAAGAAGCTTTTTAATATTCTAAGTATTATATATTTTCTTAATCAGGAAGAAGATGAGATTAATTTTAGATGAAAAACAAAAATTTAAATTTTTAAGGCATAAAAGGTTCAGTCTCCCCTTAAAATACGTGTCATAAAGTAAATGAAATCTTGATTCGATAATTTCCTTCCTTCTCTTCGTTCCAGTTGCGTCCCCAATATTGTTAGAGGTAAAAATCACAATCGGTAAATCAATCTGATAATGCCAATTATGCCTTGAGGACTATCCCAAAAATCCATAATTGTATTCCATGTCATTGCTCATAATTAATATGTTACTATCATATTTGCTAGTATAGTGGTTGAGCGCGCCACGGTAGGCCTACTTCGGTCCCCAAGTTCCCAGGTCCGAATCCCACCAATCACAAATTGATTTTTATCCTTGATGATAACAAAACCTTCTATGCATATCCGGAAGTAATGTTCGGAAACGGTCCGGGCTACCTAAGCCTAGAATGTTATGATAGGCGGGTAAAAAATTAATTTGTCAGTTCCAATCTCAAAGCACTTAGTCTATCCAAGAATGAAGAGGGTAGTCCGAGAACATCCCCAATCATGGCATATAGTTTTGGGTATTCAAATTCAATTTCACCACTTAGCAGATGCCAAATTTAGCAGCTGTCTGGTCACTTTCAGTTCCGGGAGGTGGGGGCAGGTGTCCTAAGGACGGCGGGCAGATGCCTCGTCCACCGACAGTCGGGGAGCGAGCCGAGAACCTCGGAACAAAGAGACCGAGGTCTGTGACCTCGGTTACGCTCTCGCACACGACAGCGGACAACGGGGAACGGTGCCGAGTTATTCTTGGAGACCAACAGAATACCTTCCTGTCTCTCTTGGCTTGCGGAGGTGCAAAAAGTTAATTTGGAACTGCGAGATGTCATGGAGAGTCATACTAGGCCTAGAAGTCCTGTAGCTCAGACAAGGGATTTCCTTAGTCAATGCCTGTAGGCAGGGAATCTATCATTCGCAAGGGGGAAATCGCCATTAATGTTTTTAAAATAGAACCACGGATAAAGAGTAGACTATAACGATAATTTATTTTATTTATGTCTACTTTATCCAGCAACAATGTATATTTATATTGATTTAGAGAAATGTTAATGTTCAAAAATTGACATTACTTACTTTACTCAATTTAAAATTATGATTTTTATGCTACAACTTACGTGCGTGTTATGATATCAATGTTGAATAGGCACATCATTGGTTGTTAACATGAAGAAAAACTGAGTTTTGATTTTAAGTGATAAGAAAAAAAAAAAAAAAACATAAGTACGAACGTGTTTCTGTCAAAAATCGGTCTTTCTGTGCCAATATAAGGACTCAATTTGTCAAAATACGTAATGAAGTAACAATTTTTTTCAGGAACAGCGTCTTGAAGTAAATAAATAGGAAACCATTTTCCGAGATCAGAGCATAAGCGTAACTTTTTTAAAAAATAGCTGAAATACTTTTTTACACTTTCTTACCCAGCAGAAAGCGATGAAATGTAGTTTTGTTTGTTTGTGTACAAAATTTATAATTCCTACTCACGCCGTCACGGAAGACACGGTCTGCTTGACAAATAGATGTTATTTTGGACTTGGACCTGTACCCGGCTTTAAAATAGACGGGCTTATGGAAAGTTTGAGCGTGAACGTGAATCACGTGTATTTATAAACGTGGTTGTGAAGCTCTAAGTTAAGTTTGTGAAAGCAGAAGGGAAAACTTTATAAATTAAAATTTTTAAATATTTATTTTCCCAGTAGCAAGATATAAAGGGAATATTCGGTACCAAGAAAGAACTAAAATTATTTTATCTTCAAGTTATCTTTTTTATAGCTAGTTCTTGTAGAAATTCTAACTCCAAAACATTTTGTGGCGAAGTGGCCTCTTTTTACACGATAACACGAAAAACATTAGCGAATTCATACACTAACGTGCCGCATTATTTTTCTGGTCAGACTATAAAAAGTATATGCCAAAATCTCCTTGAAGATAGCACACTCCGCGGCAAGATATATATTGTAGTATCTAGACTGTATTATATAGATTTTCTGCAGACTGCAAGAACACAAAACTTAAAGATAACTTAAAGATAAAATACTCATATATATTAAATATGCTGCTTATATCTACCATCCTCAAATACAAGATAAAATCCTTATAAAGATTAAAATCCAGTTTTATGTGCTATTAGTTATACTGCACTACAATAGTGCGTTCAATGCATTGATTACAATTCATCTCTCAAAGATGCACGTCAAAAAAGGATAAACGCATCTAACAATCAAATTAGTGTTTCGAAGTTTACTATCTATCTATTTTCAGATTGCTAACTTAATAACTATAGTAAAATCCAATAAAATAATCTATTTCTAGCAGTATAGCATTTTAGGAGTTTGCGATTTCTTAGGAAATACAATTTTTATATTTATCTTAATTAAGCCTATCTTAAGCCTTTATCTTATCTTAAAAGATGCCTAAACAGGATTTATGATGTTTAAAATTTCATGCATTCGTGAATTATTTTTGGACTACCTCATCCTGACCTGACTTTGTTTTTTCCTAATAATATAGATTCAACATCTAAAAACGATGATAAGAGAAGAAGAGGTTTGGATAGCATTCCTATTCTCTCATTTCCGGCCGACCGGGACCGGAAGTTCTTTTGATCCTAAATATTTCTCACAAATCAATTGAGTCAGCTAAATGCCGCATAGAGTGCAGCACCTGTCAAGATATTGCTAGTTTCTAATAGTTAGTGAGAAACATGCCAGGAGCGCTGCATGTACGATATAGGCTCTGTACGGTGCTGCTATTTTGTGGCGAGAAACTAAACTATCATTGACCCGTCTGCTCTCCATTTTCACATTACGACGTCTCTTGAAAATCCGGGGTCGGTGGCCATTTTTATGCTTGTGACTGTGTCTTATCGATAAAAATTTCGAAAATTAGTGGCATATTGTAGAGTACGTGGAGTGAATTAGTGTGTAGTGAGGTAGAAGAAGAGTGCAGGAAGAAAATGGTGCCGATTATCAAAAGGATGTGCTAGTGAGGTACGGTAGGTGGACAAACAACAAGGGAATCGGGTCTCCGCCTTTTGAGTTTTTGTCGAATTGGTGAAAACAGAACTTAGGTTCTGGCAGATTGGTGAAAGGAAGGGTTGGTTAGTGCTATTGGGAGCCCTGGAAGGCACAAAAGTCAAAACCATGGGCAATGCCGCAACGGCCAACAAGAAAGGCGATTCAGCAGAGAGTGTAAAGGAGTTTTTAGACCAGGCTAAAGAAGAGTTCGAAGAAAAATGGAAGAAAAATCCAACCAACACAGCTGCCCTGGATGACTTCGATAGAATAAAAACATTGGGTACCGGATCATTTGGAAGAGTGATGATAGTTCAACACAAACCCACCAAAGAATACTATGCCATGAAAATATTAGACAAACAAAAAGTTGTTAAACTGAAACAGGTAGAACACACACTGAACGAGAAGAGAATCCTTCAAGCGATTAGTTTTCCCTTTCTGGTCAGCCTCAAATTTCATTTTAAAGACAATTCAAATCTGTACATGGTTTTGGAGTATGTTCCTGGGGGAGAGATGTTTTCCCATTTACGTAAAGTAGGTCGATTCAGTGAGCCACACTCCAGATTTTATGCAGCACAAATCGTCCTAGCCTTTGAATACCTTCACTACCTAGATCTCATTTATAGAGACTTGAAGCCAGAAAATCTGCTTATAGATTCTCAAGGTTACCTGAAGGTAACAGATTTCGGTTTTGCCAAGAGGGTGAAAGGGCGAACTTGGACGCTCTGTGGAACACCTGAGTATCTTGCTCCTGAAATTATCCTCAGCAAGGGTTACAACAAAGCTGTCGACTGGTGGGCCCTGGGTGTCTTAGTTTATGAAATGGCTGCAGGATATCCCCCATTTTTTGCAGACCAGCCAATACAAATATACGAAAAAATCGTCTCAGGAAAGGTCCGTTTCCCATCACATTTTGGATCCGATCTCAAGGATCTTCTACGAAATCTCCTGCAAGTGGATCTCACCAAGAGGTATGGGAATTTGAAGAACGGAGTCAATGACATCAAAGGTCACAAGTGGTTCGCACTAACAGATTGGATCGCCATTTTCCAAAAGAAAATCGAGGCTCCTTTCATCCCACGGTGCAAGGGTCCTGGAGACACAAGTAATTTTGATGACTACGAAGAGGAAGCTCTGCGAATCTCCTCTACAGAAAAATGTGCCAAGGAGTTTGCAGAGTTTTGAGTTTTTAACAAGGATCTTAAATCATGGACCAAAGTCGGAGGACTAGAGTGCTGCCCCACATCTCGTACGTTCTAGGTAACATCTTTATACTCATGACACACATTCACTTCATCTATCAAGTAAAATATCATATCACAACCTGTATAAATTAATTGGCAATATGTCTATTAGTCCTCTAGTGAGCCCTAAATTTAAATACCGTAACTTATCTTTGTTGGATACAAACATATGTATAAATTAAATAATTCGGTTAGGTATCAAACTATGTGCTTTGTACATTTTTATGTTACCTCACTGTATTTCCTATATATGCTAAACAGTATTGTTTAAAGTGTGCAAAGCTTACATAAATACTTTTGAGGTGGGAATTAATTTAATCAAAACAAAATTCGCTGTTGGCTAAATCAGTAATTAGCCTTAGTCTTGACATTGAAAATTGTTACTGTAACATAAACAAGTAAGTTTCAGCCAATTAAGTTAAGTTCCAGAAACTAAATGGTTCACAACAATTTTAAGTTAGGAATGTTCAGTAGGCCTAGGATATTTTTACTCGGCTAGGCCCTTAGCTTGAAAAGTCATAAAATATTTTTTGACATGCCTACCTAATTAATTTAAGTTTTAATGTAAAAACTACCCTATAAACTTTTTTTGTTAGGCCCACATTAAAAAATAAAAACATTATTTTCAACTAACTTGGCCTGAAAGTTTTAACTCACAATTCAACAGCAAAGTCTCATAAGTTAGGCTACGACACAAATGATTAACCCTACAGTAACATCTCCTAATCATTCTAACATAGCCAAGTCAAAGCGTAGGTAAAAAAATAAAAAAAAACCTTTTCTTGAATGTTTGGGAAAAACAAACAGTTTGAGTAGCCTACAATTCCGCTTGGCACCAAGACCAAGTACCAACTATCAATAACCTCTGTTTTTTACAATCTATCATACTTAAAGAGGAGAAGTTTGTGTTTTTGTGGTAAAAATTTTAAAACTGCTAAGTTGGTCTACTGATTGTTCAACAAACTTATAGGCTATAGCCTAGGCCTAACTTACTACTTACCACCATTGGCACTTTGTCAAAAATAATTTTTCTATGTAGCAGATTTGGCTGCGTTGTTATTAAGATGACCTACCTCGTGATTAAAACACTTATTTTTGTTTAGGCCGTACCTAAATATTGTGTTTACGGTAGCCTAATTTTGATTAGCGAACTTATCGATTCTTAAAAAGAACTATAGCCTACAGAGGATTGTCACCCAAAATAGGCAATAGACTATAAAATGGCACATTGATAAGAAAACTAATTTTTTATGAACATTTTCATCCTGTCCAAATCCAAAACAAAATTCACATGTTACATTTAATTATTAATTGTCTAGTATTTCACTGAAACTATTAATTTTTTTCTTACAGGGCAGTTTAATTGTGAAAACGCCTGAGTACAACAAAAAAATAGTATAATTTTACACAAAGTGTTCCTAATTGTTATTTAAAGCAACACTAGTTTGATTACCGGTACCTAGGCTATATCGTTTAGCATGTATTGGCAAATGCAATCAGTTCGATATGACCAATTACTAACGTTTATCGGATAAATTTCCCTGTATAACAATTAGTTTTTGTACCAAAAATGCTCTTGTAGAGTATTTCCCTCAGTAAATGACCCCAATCAATTCAAACATTTTTCATCAATTTCTTAACCGTAATCTTGGCATAGGCCTATACAATCATTTCTGTTTACACAAACATCCTGTGAATTCTCACAGCCTTTGTAGAGTCTTAGGTTAGGATTGTCGTTATATTATTTTTGAAAGCAGGGTGTGGTCACTGTGATCAAAATTATAACCAATGAAGTCTATAAGTTGGTGTACAAACTAGTGTTTTGTGATAACCTACAAATCGCATATATTTGTTGTTGTTTAGTTGGAGACCTAATGTCAGTGGGCCGTCAGGACTTTGTAATATAACACTGTACGCTTGTGAGTTCTGTGGTTCGTTGACACTTGGCTTAACCCTTTCTGTACCAACTGAATTTTGAGATCGTCTCTGTAGCCTAAATGTTTACCTACTCAATCGAGTAACTCCTGTTTAAGTTTGATATTTTATGTAAAATGTTTCCTGTTATGATTTAGTTTTCTGATATTTTAAGGGATCATAAAACTCATATATATTTACAGTAATCTAATAATTAATAATAACTTTAATCTACGTTGTTGTTGAGCATGTTGAATTTTTATTCTTAAAAGTCAGATTGGCACAGATAGGGATAAATTCATTGTTTAAGTTTGCAGAGTTTATCGGTTGTATCTATTTTTGTTAGTTAAGCTATATTGTTTAAAAAGTTTTAAAAATAGTTACAAATCAAATCCAATGAATTGTTTATGTAGATTTATTTGTAGTTTATAGTACGGTATAGTGTAGGTATAACCGCAGCGCCAATGTCTTATTACAATTTGTATATTATTTGAACTGAGGTACCTCGTACGTATGTTTTATGATCACATAAGTCAAAGTGTGCATGTTGAGTGTTTTTGCATTTGAAATCAGTATTTTACTCGACCGGTAAGGATGTGAAAAGACGTTATGACATTTTGTCGATTTCAATGGATATTCCTCTCGTGACAGAATGGACTAAGTATACTCATCTTCGGCTCAAGACTATCACCGCGTCCTTTGTAACGTGAGGCAAAGCGGAGGCGTGTTTAGAACGGATTCTTCTCAGAGTTTTAACTGTGTTTTGTTATAAGTCAAGTCAATGTATACAGTCTCGGTTATGAACCTGTTGTGGCGAATATTTGTACCTAGTTTGTTTGAAATATTTTGTACATAGAAATATACATAACATACAATTTTAGGGTACTTAAGACATATTCATTTCCATGTAACAAAATTTGGTTTGCTTGGGTGAAAGTTGGGGTCGCCTCTAGGTGTAGGAACAACATTCAAGCTCTAGTTGTGTTTTAAACAACCACACTCTCTTGTAAAATTGATAAAAATGCTGAGATAAATATAACCCCATAACAAGTCATAATTCTACTTTCAATTGTTAACTTAAGATGCTAAATATGATAACATATTTTTGTCTTAAAGGGTTTTGGTCTGTGGCCAAGTTTACACTATTATACAATCAATTTTTAAGATTATCATTTTGACAGTATTCCTGTAACATTTCACTGTAGGTATTTAGTGATCTTCATTAACAGCACTCTGTTATATAAATTGAGAACTTGTAAATATAAATCTCAACTTGTAAATTGATTACAGTAGCTGAATTCTATGACTGCTCATTATCATTCTATGTTCAGTTAGTATTTTAACTGTTCCTCTTTAAATAAATGACTCTCCTACACAATTATCAGAAGTATCAGTCTTTTAACTTGTTATTGTATAAAAATTCACAACCAGTAAGTTTTAATCTTATCTAATTTCTAATCGAATAACTTGGGTACAGTTAGATTATCAGCATTGCTCAGTTACTGTAATATTATTTCCTGCATTGTTACTATGTTAAATATTTATAAAACCGAGCTTATTTATTCATCATAAATTTGGCTTGTAATAAATTAAGTCTATTTTAATTCATACTGTGATTATAAAATGTGTTATTTTGAGCTTAGAAATTGTACTTGTCAATCATATGGGATTATCGAACACCTTAAGAACTTGACTAAATCGTCAACTTGCAATTTACTTCCAAAGTTTGCCAACTTTCATTTGAAATTTGAGTTCAAAGTCTTAGTTTTACTTGCCGGAAGATGGATTACTCGGTCAAGTCACTACGGGTATTTCGGTATTTGTTTGTACAGTCTTACTGATCAGTTCACCAAGCTACTGCAGGCAGTAAGCACAAGTCTATATAGTGTGTCGTACGATCAGTGTGTTCCGTGTGGAGTTTATTTGGCCTCTCCAGGTGTTCTCTATCAGCCCAACTTATCCTTTCAGAGTGTCATTTAGGTGTTGAAATCAGTCAAAATCCCGACGTTGACTATTTTGATACAGTCGTGCCTATTGGAAGCTTTAGCTTGGCAATAATTTCCTCTGTCTCCCGTAGCATCCGATCTTTGTCTTTTTTAAACCCGAACATATGTAAGGTGTTCAATGTCAGTGTACATAGAGAATTTACTGCCTGCACTCAGTGCGGCAAACAATCAAATTTGACGCTTAGTTCGACTCGGTTTTCGGTTAGTTTGCGGTTTGAGTTCACGCCCGAGCAAGATCGTAAGTTATAAATATATTTTAATATGATTGATTGTAGTAGATTGTATTTGTAAGTGTATGTAAGCCCCATGTTTGTGTATACCCCCTGTGTACAGATAAGAGTTTTTGGTAGCTTTACAAACGTGTCGCTGCCATTAACAATTGCTTGGATAAATTTTATTTATAATTGAAAATGTTTTCAAAATGACAAATAAAATCAGGTAGAATTCAACAGTGTTTTATTTGTACCTTTGTATTGTGGTTCAAATTTGTAGTCTTTTTCAATTTGGTTAGGGTTTTTAACGATTAAAATTAAGTTTTCTAAAATACTTAATTAAAAATATTGGTATTTGTAACATTTACATAGGCCCTAGTTAACAATTTTCTTCTCAAAGTACCGTACCAAATAATATAAATTAATTGAATTTTGTATCATATTTTTGATTTGTTGAGCTTTTGTCTGCAAAGGAAACCAACCACAAATCTATAGCCTATATAATTTACAGATATACTAAGTACCAGATATTTTATACAGTATCAAGATTTGAAGAGTGTTATACATAGGCCTACCCTATATTGTATACTTTACCAATATGGCAACATTTTAGGTTTGAATTTTACTAAAGAGTACAACAATCTGAAACTGGTATAGGCCTATGTTTATGTTTTCTAGGTTTTACAGATTTTAAAAACAATGTAAAACCACAATTTTTATGATATAAGTAAAAGATGTTTTTGTCTTTAGGTGTTTCAGCAGTTGGTCAATTGTTTTTGCTATTTAAGATTTTATGTGAGTCATGAAACTTTAAACTAGGCTACCTGTAATATCTTATCTAGTGGTGGTACTACTCTCATAATAGTTTGTATTTTAAAACAGCTGTTTCCAGCAGATGAAACTTTGAAAAGAAGAACATAATTTTTCATGTGCAATTACTTTTTTCTCTTTCAACTTTTTATAAAATTACAATCTAGGCCTAGTCCAATTGTAATTTTCTTTTTAACTAAAAAATACTTAAAAGACTCCATTGTTTACACTCAATAGTTCATTGGCCACTTATTTTACTAAAGAATATTGGTTGAATGAGTCTCTTATGAAATAAACTATAAGTTTCATTTAGGCCTACTTTAAGTTAAATATTTTTAGTTGAGGAACACACACTCACAGGTTACCCACAGTTGAAAAGTTGGTGGATAAAAACACAAATGTATTCTGTTAATTTTTATTTTAAAATTGGCTACATTAAAATGGGAGTGAATCTACAGAAACAGATGGGACTTAAGAGGTAAACTCATTTTGGCCTTGGTAGGCCTTAAAATAAGTTACACTAAACTACATTACTTTCAGGGCGTAACTTTAACTCTCCAAGTGAGTTAAGAGGATTCCATATTCCATTCTCCATATTGTGATCACAGAGGATTTCCACTGGTATTCTTTGCTCAATTCAACATACAACAACCTTAGGCAAATGGAACTGAGCTAATTTTTCTTATGCCCATAATTGTTATATTTTACAGGGTTAGAGTGAAGAGAGTGTTATTTTAGTGTTTTTTTTTAGAGTATGTATGTAAATGTTTGTACATTTCACTCGTTCTCAACAGAATAAATCCCTCTTACGACTTTACGACTATGAGGGGTGTACACTGTACAGGATAACGTTTTAAGCAGCCTAGTCATTTTTGAGTACCTGGACCAGACCATCTCTATGGCCTGAATGATGGAGCCTGGAGCCTGTCTCCTAACCAGTTCTACTTGGACCTTAAACCGTTGGCCAATCCCTAGGTTAGGAGGGTCAGGAAACAGGTTCCATTACACAGACTATAGTCAACATTGTAAGATTTAAATTACTTGCAAATAACTATGTTTGACAAAGCTAAACAATTATATTTACAACGGCAAAAAAATCCCCCATTGCAGCAGAGATGAAGACTAGGTGAACTTCTTTTGGAGTACAAAACCCCTTCTTTGTCAGAAATATGAACTTTCCTTTTTGATGGGAATTTCACAACTAAAAATACAAATGACAAAAAATGAAAAAAATCCTGGAGATACCATAAATTTGTACCCATATATCAAATTACTGTACTGTACCTATATCAAAAACCACAGGTGTAGTTTGTAGCTCTGTACACATCCCGACATCACTTCTCAAAAATGTTGACAAAAACAATACTTCTCCATATACTATGTATAGGGGGAGAAAGTAAAAAGCCAAAACTAAATTATAAGTACACTAACCGTATATCAGAATAAAAGTTCTTGAAACTTGGGAATTCTTTCAATGTACATGGAAACTACTTCAGAAATAACTATACAATTTTACACTTTGATAAGCACGATTTACTGTGCTATTAACACTATCAGTTGGTTGTTTTCAGTTTCAATTTTATGTTCTGTAACAAATTTTCACAGTGTTAAGCTAAAACGTAATGAAGTAATCATACAACAAATATGGTAGATAAGTAACGACCTTGAATATCACGCAAGTGTTAAACGACCTTTGTAGTTAATTTGGACTTGGTTGGATAGGTTATCCAATGTAATACCTATATCAGTTTGATATTAAAGTCCAGATTATACAAACGCCTTTATGAATGTGTCAATCTTATTGGTTAGGTGAGGTTAGGTCTGTTTGATTTATGCAAAGGTCGTTTTGTAATTTACGACTCTTGTTGGCTTTAAACATATTTTAAGTAATAATGATGGTAATATACTGTACTCCCAACTTATCAAATAAGGTAAAGTAACTATAGAGTTTAGATTTCGTATTGGACGTATTATTGGTTTCAATCAATTAACTGTCATAGTATGACAAAACGAAAAAGTTAGAAAAGAAATCTAGGAATACATGTTTAATAATTGTATAACACTGAAAAGCTGAAATTGTTCTCTCTGGAAAACAATAGTCCTACTGGTTTAAGTTGGTGTGATGTCTTCTTCTGCACCCAACCTCAAAAATATTGTGCACCCATATGTATCACTTGTATACAAACCCAAACCATTACGTTTACCTAAAACACAACTTAATATTTTAAAACACTTTTAGTTTTTACACAAATTTATAATGACAGTCGATTTGGCGTGTATATTTGATGTTTTTCACAACGAATTGTCATACAATTTACAAATTTAATCCAACCATTCTAACCACATCACATAACTACTCTTATCACTCCCTCCTTTCAGGATCTTAAAGTAATTCTCAAACACTTAACTTAATTTTGTCACTTTCACTTTATTTTTATTTGAAAAATCGTGCTACGATTCAATTGATGTAGAAAGTACAAAGTAATTCAACGCCGTAATTCATCTAGCTGTTCGAGTGACAACAAAACAATGTAAGAGTAATTACAACCAATTAGGTGGCAATGTGAGTATCGGCTAAATTGACAGAATAGAAGCGCACGCTCACACACACACACACACCAGCAGATTGTCTGAATTAATTGAGGCTGGCTGCGGTGAGGCAAGAGAGGAATTGAGGTTTTCTACGGTTGTGTTACCATAGGCACACCTGCGTTTGCAACTTGGGTATAGATTGGATTCTGAATTTTTATTGTTTTAGAAAAGTTGTGAGAAATACCATTGACTATACACAGAATACATAGGTTTTTAAGTCTTTGAAATGAATCGTGGTGAATATACCTTGTGTATGAGAATCGATTAATTTCCGAACGTAGTTAATTACCTTGGTTTGATGGGTCGAACGGGTTTCTAACATACGGTAATTCTCTCATGTATACGTTGTTTCTCCAAATTTAACAATTTAAGTTATTACCCTGGCAAATAAAATGTTTGGTACTGAATTATGCCGGTTTTATTTTTAAAACTCGCGTTGTGTTTCGTGACCTTTAAGGAATTTTTTGGTTAGACTCACTAAGAGTCACAAATTTTCCGTTTTCACAATCAAATCTCTCACGTTTACTTACTAAGGTGACGACAATCAGAATCTCTACATGTAAAAATAAAATACGAAATTTGTATTCCAAGTGTCGAAATTGTTGTTGCTTTGTATACCAGGATCAAACTGCTAACTGAAAATCTCACAAAGAGTCAATCTATCCCTCATTCGAGATAAAATCCCACTAATAAAAATTTTAAGCTGACTTTAGGCAGACCTAGGGTTGCGACATTATCTCTTAGATAGAATCTATTTAGATGATTTGGCGGGATTTTAACCTGGGTCCTCAGGGACCAAATTCCCGTCCTCTACCACTAGAACAGCTCGCTCCCCAAAAACTGAAAAATTCATTGAAAAAATAAAATTTGGATTTTAGAAAATAATTTTATTTTCGTTGTTTGGATGTGTATACCCTAACTATTCTGCGATCACTGATAACTCCACAATGAATCAAATTACTACCTCCAGATGGGCAGCCAACTTGTCACGATCAAGAACTATATCTGATGAGAAAAGAAAAAGAACATAGGCTAAGAAAAAATAACCATTTAGGGCCTATATATTTTTCTAAATCCTTTTGTTTATAACAACCAGTCTGCAATCTCACTTTATCCCACGACGAGTCAAAATATCCCATATTCGGGACAATATCCCAGTTGACCAGGATCCTGTCGGTTGACCAGGACTAGGATCACGGTCTGTAGCGTGAGGTTCCCCAAGGACATATTCATTGGCACGTCCTGTCCGCCATATTTGTTTACAAGGTTCCATTAATGCGCTGGCCAGTGCTATTCTCATCTTTCCACTGGTCATCACTTGCAGCTCATACCTTAAGTGTCAAAGTGGTTTAATATACAATTATGGTACGAGGAGTTAGACATTTATTTTAGAGTTAACAAGGAATACAGCTACACATTATTTCCAGTTCATATTTCTGAGTAATGAAAAATCTACTGTACTTTTCCAAGTGATAAATATTCTTGGACTACGTAAATGTTTTTAGAGTACATGCATGGAAAAGTAATAAGTTAATTGAAATAGTGAATTTTATAGCACCGTTGGATTTGTATAGCTTGGAATTGTGTTTAAAAAATAAAGGGTCTGATAACTTGAAATATATTTGTTATCATAAGTGCTTAGAAAAATTACTTTGAATGATGGATTGATTCTCATGACACTATATTTTTAAATTACTGAGAAGTTAGTCCTATATGAAATAATTTGCATATACTTACAAGATAAAATTACACGTTTTATGGCGAATAAATGAACACCCCAAAGGTAATACTAAGGGAGTATTTTAATGTTTCCACTTTTAGTAGAGGGTTACTGG